TGCTCACCATGTAGTAGTATCTCCTAAAGGGCTTAGTGGAGGCATGATAATTTTTTTGGGATGATAGTGTAACTGTAAAGTTTCCAAACAAACCTGCTCTTAACAGCACGGACATGTATATAACGGAAGGTGCCAATACTTTTTGGTGTACCTATATCTATGGAAATCCAGTTAAAAAGTATTGAAATGCTATGTGGTATTCTATGATGTCTCAAGCATACGCAAGTTTTCATCAAGATAAGCTGAGATTGGTATTGGACAACTTCAATGACATTACAGACAACAGTGAGAAGAAAGGTGGTCCTTTTAAGGTCAGAAGTTCCCTCTCCACTTTTCATAATATGTTATATGTTTGTGGGCTTCACGATTTTAAAAGCATTGGGGGGGGACATACTTGGACTGGTAAATGGCATTCATATGATATTAAGTCTAAAATTGATCGTGTTGTTCCTACTGCTTATGTTCAACTACTTCCTTGGCATGGTTCTGACCATAGACCACTTCTTGTTTATACAGAGCTTTATTGAAATCGCGGATACAATATGTTTAAATACGATAATCGTTGGAAGGAGAATTTAGAGATTTGTGATCTAGTTGTCAAAACATGGGAGAATGAGTGCTCTACAATACCGCCTATAATATTCAGTAAAGTTATTGCAAAATGTAGAGTAGCTCTGTCCAGGCGGAAGGGAACCAACATTCAAAATTCATAAAAAAATAAGAATATGGAGCTCAGGGACAAACTTCATACTGCTTATGATGCTTCAACATTAGACTATAACCTCATAAGTGATCTTAAATCCCAACTGCAGATTCAGTATAAGTTAGAATAGGAATATTGGAAGTTAAAGAGTAGAATTTTTTGGCTACAAGTTGGTGATAAAAAAAATACTAAATATTTTCATGCTAAAACAAACCAAAGAAGAGCTTTCAACAGAATTCTCCATATGCGGATTGAAGCAGGTCATCTCCTCTCTAAATCCGATGATGTACAACAAGAAATCGAACAATATTTTACAATGTTGTATACCTCTAATGGTTGTGACATTGCACATGAGATTCTAGATGGTCTCCCCAAAACAGTGACAAAAGAAATTAATTGTGCCCTTACACGACCTATCACTAAAGAACAATTTAAGAATACAATGTTCTCCATCAACCCAGAGAAGTCTCCCAGGCCTGATGGCATGACAGTTGGATTTTATCGACACCATTGGAATGCTATTAAACAAGGTGTGTGTTTTTACGTCCAGCTTTTCTTTGAGGGGGACTATCTGGATCTAGAGATAAACCACACACTTAGTTTCCAAAAGTCAAACTACGAATATGGTCAAAGATTATATTCCTATGATTTTAACCAATGTGGCTTACAAAATCATTTCAAATATTTTAGCAGAGAAACTAAAGCCTCAGTTGTATTCCATTATTTTGGATAATCAATCTGTTTTCATTCATGGCAGATTAATTATTGACATTGTCTTGATCGCTCATGAACTACTACACTCTTTGCATACAAAGAAGTTGTCTAAGGATTACATAGCCTTAATAGTGGATATTACCAAAGCTTTTGACCGAGTGGAATGGCCATTTCTTAATATAATTATGCAAAAGACGGGGATTCAACGATCAATGGAGAGCATGGATCATGAAATGCATTATCACTGTCTCTTATTTGGTTCTCATTAATAGAGCTCCCTCAACCAAAATTGTTCATACGACAGGTATACGTCAAAGTGATCCAATCTCTCATTATCTTTGTCTCATTTGTACTGAAGGTCTATCCAGATTTATTAAAAGTCGTATCCAAAGACAGCATATCCATGGTTATAAGGTATCTAGAGGTGGACCAATGATCTCACATCTTCTATTTGCAGAAAATTCTCTCATTTTCTGCAGAGCTTCTGAGTCCGAGTATAGTAATCTGTTGAACAACTTTTCTGCATATCAAAGAGGCTCAAGTCAGGAAATAAATTATAATAAATCTGATGTTACCTTCAGTAAAGGTACTTCTGAGGATATTCAGTAAATAATTACTCAGAAAACAGGTATTCAAATGATTGGATGTCTAGGAAGATATTTAGGTCTGCCAGAGCATATTGGTCGCAACCGAAAGGATATGTTTAACTATGTCATGCAAAGAGTATAAAATAAGATAGACAGCTAGTATAACAGATTTCTCTCCCAAGCAGGTAAAGAAGTCATACTCAAGTCTGTTACTACTACCTTTCTAACATACAGGATGTCATGTTTCATGCTCCCAAAGGATGTAATTAATAAATTCACTTCCACAATGCATAGATTCTGGTGGTCAAGAATCAAAGGTTAACATAAGATTCCTTGGGTAGCATGGGACAATATAATTGCTTCAAACAAAGATGGAGCCATTAGAATTCGAGACTTATATGACTTTAATCTAGCCTTACTAGCAAACATGCCTGGAGAATAATCAAAAATTCCAACTCGTTACTGACTCGAGTTTTTATATCCAAATACTTCCGACATACGATTTTTATGAATGCGAAAAGCTACACAACATCCAGCTACGCATGGAGAAGTCTCATTCAGAGTCAGCCCCTATTAAAATTCGAAAGCCGGTGGATAGTGGGAAAAGGAGACCAGATTCATGTCTAGAATGATAACTGGTTACCTACAAAACCTCCTCGGTCACCACAACCCAGACATGTTGATAACACTCCTAATCTCTATGTCAATGACCTCTTAATTCAGATACCCGGGATTGGGATCATATAAAGTTGTCAAATTTTATTGCCTCTGATGATATTGCCCGAATGACGCAGTTGCGGCCAAGTATATCCTCTGCTAAGGATGTAATTTCCTGGGCTTATACTACTATTGGGATGTATTCGGTTATATCTGGATACTATATTCAGAGGAGGCTAAGGTCTGAGTGTGCAGGACAGAGGAGTCCAAACCATACTTTATCTGAAGAAGCTAAACAGGTATGTCGATAATTATGGAAGATTAAAATTTCACCAAAACTTAGAATCTTTTGGTGGAGAGTGATTTACAATAGTCTTCCTGTTTCGGACAACCTGCAAAGAAGGAAAATGAAAGTCGACTATAACTGCCTTCTTTGTGGAGATTTTGCTAAAATAATAAATCACTTATTGTTTTAATGCAGAGTAGCAAAAGACATATGAGAGCTAGCTACCTCTACTACTTATCCTTCGGATCTCCTTCTCCAGAACACGTTGCTTCAAAACGTCCAGCTCAAATTGAATCAAATGAAAGCCCAACAAGCTGAAACTCTTGTATGTTATCTTGCTTGGGGTATATAGACGATGAGAAACACATTGTTGTTCCAGCACAAGAGGGAACATATTACTCACACTATCTATATGGCTCATATTGATAGACAACAATGGGAAGAAACAGACACTATGGAGATACAATATGTAGGAGTACCGATACAACCTCAGCCAGAAGAAGATATCACTCTTTAGGATATAATCGAATACAACTCTGCATATTATTGTATTGATGCGTCTTCGGTTTCATCTTCCCAACGTACAGGTATTGGATGGTCTTTATACAGCAAATAAGGCATCCAAGTTATCCAAGGAAGAGCTTATATCCCATCAACGCTGGATGCTCTTCAGGCAGAAGGAGTAGCTCTTTTAATGGCTATTTAATGTTTTCGTGTGTTGGGATACACTTATATTACTTTTGTGGATGACTGCAAAATGTTATATGACATCCTCAAATATCGCAATATAGGTCAGTATAATGAAGATTCTGAAGTCCCATACGCCTCTGTTGCAGTTTTGGTACCAGACATACTTGCTTGGTTAACTAGCTCCTATCATTTCAAGTATGTGTCAAGAATATTTATTCAGTAAGTAGATAAACTAGCAAAGATGCTAGGAAGCAATGTAAGAACTATTGTATTAATTGAATTTTATGAAATGTATGGTGTCTTCGTTATTAATCAAATAAACCTTTGACGATAAAAAAAAAAAAAGAACTCAACTATCCAAATGTACACACTCCATCTCACTAGTCTTGTGGACAATGATCTCCTACCATTGAGAATTTATGCTTTATAAACCTCAAAGCCATCACAAAGACTCATGGACACAATCGCATATATTGTATTGGTAAAAATTTATAGTCTTTCCCTTCCATAGTAGAGAATAATGGTGACGACGAGGATCTTATATGATGGAAGTTTCCAACTATTCCACCGCCAGAACCCTAGGATGGAACCTTTCTCACTAGTCTCTGTCGGTCGTTATACAGTTTTCACTGAAAAGTCGTCCGTCTGAATCTGAAGATAGTGGTACTATGAGATTACAAGAACAATTAAAAGCTTAAGATTTTAGTCCAAGCGAATCTTTACAATTTGTGAGGTTTTTTGAAATTCCCGACGATTTGCTGGATTCCAAAAGTTTAGATCATCGACGGAAGCATATTCCGTCTAATATCGCTATGCCGATTACTTATTTGCTCCGTTCAACTTTTCATTTTAATTACACTTACACCACATAATTTGGAAAGGATAAAAACCAAATAAGAATCTAACCCCCAAAGTTTAACATGTCATTTTCTTTCTCAGTCCCCAGAACTGTCTTACTTGAAAACACTTATCCTTCTTATATGAACACGATGGCCGCCTCACATGCAATACAGAAACTTGGGATTTTAATTTCTTGCCTACAAAGTTTGTAATAATGTTTGATTTGAACTCATGAAACAATATGGATTCAGATTCCTAATGTAAATTCTAAAACCAAGCCAAGTTGAAACGAAAGTCTTTTAATTATATTTTTAGTTCTATAGAGTTTTGCCAACAACTATGAAAATAGGGCAAGACGGATAACAAAGTTTAAACTGACGCAAATGCGTGAAATTCTTTGCGGCATAAACTGAAATCCCAACACACACAAACACTTAAACAAATCTCCAAAAGTCTGAATCCATCAAACAACCTAAATGATTTTTGTCAAAGTGTGAACAAAACCATGACAAGATAGAAAATATTAACTCTCATCCATTGCATCCGTTGATTGCGTTGAAACCGAGTCCTCAAGTGCCTCAAGGAATGAGATAACCGTGAACTTATCTGCAATAAGTGTTGGAAATGACCGTTTGTATAAAAATGAAAAAGAAAAAATAAAAGACTGATGATATTTAATTGCAAGTGTCCAACTCACATTTACTTGGGTCGACACCGAACTGGGTCAAATCTATTTGTCCTGTGCGAAGTACCTAAAAGAGAGATTCAAGTCGAGTCAGGTTATCTAGCCAAGAACAAGAACAGGAACGACATACTCAGAGCCAGGGGCTTACATAGGTAAATGCATCTACTTGTTGACGAAAAGGAGGGCTCTGCAACAACTCCAGTATATCTTCAGCACTACAGTGACCCTGTGCATAAGTCCTTGGGTTAGTCTAGTGCATAAGCATTGTAATTAGAGAGCTAACAGGTTAAAAGGAAGTTGGGGCCATTCTGGATTTGTCTAGGGTCTTGTTAATTTATATTGAAATCTCATCACCGTGTTGGCCACAATTAAAGCCATAACAGTCTAAAAATATAGACAATTCACCAGACATATATAAATTTCAAGTATACTTGCAGCCTTCAAGACTTCTTACAATCCCCCCTTAAACCCTTTCATAATCCAGTGACCCTCAAAAATGCCTAACTTGACTCGATCTCTTCTATCACATTTTCAATACAGAAAAACACTGAAACCCAGCACATACCTCAGGTAAATGTGAAGACAATCGTTCTTCTACCGGTAACATCTCAAGCAATGGCATAATCAACTCCGGCTTCAAGATATCCCCTAATACTAGGCCTTAAGAAGATAAAAAAAAAAAAAAAAAAAAAAAAAAGATGAGGGGACGATGTAATAATGGCACAACTGCAGAGAGAGAACAATAAAAGCTGAAAACAAATAATTGATCACAGAGCAAAGTTGGGGACTCCTAGCCATAGAGAAGTAGCTGTAAAACTACATAATGCTTTCGCACCACATCCATCTTGAACAAACAGATAAACAAGTTGAAAATATTCACCTTCCTCTTCATCTGCTGCAATTCATAAAATCAGACCTGAATGAGTATTAAGAGGGTAACTAGAAAAGCTTATTGACAGACGGAGTACCAGAAGATAGAGAATTATACCTACAGGGCCCGCAGAGATGTTGTTCAGAATTCTTTGCAGGTCTACCAGCTTAACTGGTCCAGACGAAGATGACACGTCACTCACCTCTGTAGACAAATTTGGTACAACCAAGTTTCCAGCTCTATGAAAGATGAAAAATTCATATTAGCCATTGTGTTTCAAATAGGCTAGTATCATTTACAGTAAAAAAATAGTGAGCTTTCATATGGTGTTCAACACCAAACCAAGCATAACCTTTGAAAATATTCACAGCTTTATATAACGATGATAGCTTCTGACAGCAAACATCTATCAGCCACAGGGTAGCCATGTCTAGACTCTAGAGAAACTATAATGAGCGAATGCTGGTCACAAGTAGGATGCAACATAAAAAATCTTTGTATCATGAAACTGACCACAAAGCAACCAATTATTTCTGAATAATAAAATGGTAAGGTAGTTTACATCCTTTGCTACTTAGATGCAAAACTAACAGTCAGGGTAGCATTTTGACATAATCAGTACCTAGATGAAACATCATCTTCTGCCATGTCTTCCACTTCCTCAAGGACGGCAGCTTCTTGTCCTTCACCAAGAAATTCTGGTGCATAGAAACTTTATCAGATTGATTCAACCTTGTCCTGATAAATAAGTGACTAAACATTGAGTGCTTTCACTATCAAGGGCATTAGTATACACAAAAAGAAGATGAAAAAAGAACATTCTATGATTACAAGGCCGTTTTAATTCAAGTTATTTGATACATATGGACTATATTCAATGATTACGAGGCTGTTTCATAATGTTAGGATGTACATGATATTGTTTGATTTCCGCTTAGGACATTGCTTAGCACCTAAAGTTTTCTTGAAACATAATTTTAACATCTAGAAAAACAAGTAAACCCTGACACTAGGTCATCTTGATAATGGAAAAGATTACAAAAACTAATGCCGTGGCATGCATTAATCACAAATCCGTTTTCAAGTCATGAAACGCTAAAAAAATATGAAAGGAGAGTATGGAAGAAAGAAAGCTAGTTCGCTGATCCCACGGAAGTTAAAAGGTTAATCAGCAAGAAAGATATTGGTACCAGGATTCAATCACATCCTAGACTGTTTGTAAAAAGATAGGAATGTTACATGCCTAGTGGTTGATTAAGGTATTGATTGACGGAAGAGCATAGGTCTGCATCACCTTCAGCTCTCGGCTCCTGCGAAAAAAGTTACAAAAAGAGTTCCCATAAGATTAACGATCAACAATGCATCAAGTTGAAAGTGATTAGATGAACACATAAGAAAAAAAAAAAAGCGACCTGCATCCAGAAGAATAGCTTGCGGTCATCGCTATTGAACTTCAGAATGTACACCCTGTCTGATGATTGATTAACCTAAACAGAAAACATGCATGATGTGGTCACAATCCGAAATAAGTAATTCACATGCTAGTAACTTCAATTGAACGGGCATACCTTTTCAAATAGAGCTTCATCAGGGAAAACGATTTGATCCTAAAAGGTATCGTCAAGGAGAAAACAGTGTAATTGGAACAACTAGTACCAACAATTTATAAGTCCCTGAATTTGTGGGAAACAAAAAAAAAAAGACATCCTAGATGGAACAACCTAAGAAAGGAAACAAATCTACTGTCCTAAAAGACGTGGAACTTGAAGAACCCTTTAATCCATTTCTAATAATTGAGGATACATCTTCTACCGCATTCTGGATTCGATCAAGCCACTGGAAATGAACCAGTCCCTCTTCACCCTACAAGAGAGTAATAAAGGAGATTAACTTTGACAGAACGTGCTTATTCTGAGTTAGAAACGGAGCGAAAACTGTCACAAAAAAAGCTGATACACACGAACGATCAATGTTAAAAAATGTCATAATAAGAGTGCGACATTACTCTAGCAATGCGGACAAGCCCTTTCCGTACATCAGGGACAACTCTTGATCCCTGCAAAGACATCTTACCAGCACGAAACTCGAGCATGATCTCCTGCCCAATAGTAAGTGTAGGTATTTAGTTTAAGAATCAGCATTAAAGAGAAAAAAAAACTTTGATTCAATAATCTGAGAAAGTTTCTAGTTACCTGCATCACTGGAAACGCTTCACCTGAAGTCATATCACCACCTCTTTCTAGTGAAACAAGGAATAGACACAGAGCCAAATATTCAGTAAACGGAAAATCACAATCAATCAAAACGAAATCACAGTTCCACTTCATAGTTTCTAAGCTAAACAATTAGGGTAATCCACGATACTCATATCTAGGAGAAATCGTCGGAAAATAATCAGAGAATATCATCATCATACTGTAACTAGGAAAGCAGATTCGAAGTGATCTTAGTCTAGTCCTTCGATGGTGATCGAAGCGAAGATTAATAATTAAACAAAAAAAACCTTAAAAGCTAATAATATCTTGAAGATTAGACAATACCTTTGAAGAAGAAAGTTCGCGAGAGGAATGGATTAGTAGAGAGAGAGTACACTTTTCGTTTTTCTTTTCAATTTTGCTTCGTCTCTTGTGTTTAACTATTTTGTTTTGGCGACAAGTGAGACGTTACAACTGTATTTCTCGCCGGATTAATTGATTTATCCGGCGGACTAGTCAGATGATTTCTTCTCTGGGATCTACTTTCTTCTCTCGGTTACAAGCTTCTCTCTCTAGTCGGCGTTGACGACGAGCCTCATTGATAATCACTGGTTACTAGGGGTGGGCACTTCTGATTTTGGTTTGGTTTCGGTTCGGTTTCTTCGGTTTTACGGTTTATCGGTTTTACGAAAATTCAAACCATATAAAAGTCATATATATTTCGGTTCGGTATGGTTTGGTTTTTTACGGTTCAGTTTGATATGGTTTGATTTCGTTTTTTTGGAATTATACTATTACGAAATTTTTTGATTCAAACTAATGGAAATAATAATAATAATAAATATGAGTGAAATAAAATAATAAATTCAAAATATAGAATCTAAATCATTAAAAATTCATCAATAAGAACATATTTCAAAATAGAGAAACAAACAAATTATCAAATTTTTCATAATCAATAATTATAAAACAATAAACCAATCTAGATTAAAATTTAATACATATAATCTTGAAACTAGAACTAGAAGACTTGAATATGAAGAAAAAGGAGTCACATTTTTTTATTGAGAAATTAAAGCTTACTTTATTATTTATATATAGATATTTTTTATAAATATTATATTTTAAATTTATGAGTTAAGTTAGTAAATTATAAAGATAACTAAGCTCAATAATAAAATATGTACCTAAACTAGATTAAAAAATTAGGAAAATATAAATTATTTAAAATTTAGTTTAAAAACCGAAAAAACCTTTTGGTTTGACGGTTTTTAACCAAATCAAACCTAAACCAAAACTATAAAAAAATGATGACCAAATAGATTTTTTTTTTCGGTATGGTTTGATTTTTTCGGTTATGGTTTTTGTGCCTACCCCTACTAGTTACTTCTTCGTCTGGGCCTCCCCTACTAATGGGCTTCGATTTCCATCTTTCACTAAGGCATATCAATTGTGGTTCACATAGGTTATTTTAATGGTTTTCGTATTGGGCTAAATATTCTAATTAATTAATTTAATGCAAACAATTATTCAGAAAAAACATCAAAATCACACTGGAATTATAGCTCTGACTAATTATCTTCCGAAATGGTGGAATTGCGTCTTAATTTTGCCAACTCTAATTGATAATCTGCGAAAACGCAATTCCTTAGCTTTTTTAATTTTTACCAATAAAAAAATGTTGTGGAATATTCAGAAAAACATAAAAAAACGTATGTATTTGCATTTTCAGTTAAACAAATACAAATAATGGATTTGAGAATCCAAACCAAATTCAGTGTTATTGGTTCTTGTATTTTAAAATTTATATTGAAATACAGTGTTATTAGTTCTATGATTTTAAAATCTATAATGAAATACAGTGTTATTGGTTCTATCATTTTAGAATCTAAATATTATAAGGATTTGAGTTTTAATTGAATTTGAATGGATTTGGAAGGATTTTTATGACTAAAATACAAAGACCCAAATACAAAGTCTAACCTTGGTATTTGAGTGGATTTGATTTTTTTCCATTTTGTTGATTTTAAAATCAATAAATTTATCAAATCCAAAAAAGATTTATAAATCCACCAATTAGTATTAAGCAATTATGTGAGCTTGTACTAGCTTTTTCACGGAATAGTTGAACATTAATTTTTGTTTAAAATTCCCCATACCCACAAGGCCATAACGTTAACTTCTTTTGAAAATACAAATAGACAAAACGAATTGAATGGTTAAGTGAAGTTAACATAATGCTTCAACATTAATGTTTTTATGTATCATGTATTTTGAATGTATTAAACATTAAGCAAAATATAATTGTTTGAAATAAAAGAAAAATTCACATTTTAATAAAATTTTAAAAATGTCATCTGTTTTTGATAATTTAAAGTAAAATTTTCATTGCTTTTCTAAATTCATATGTTTGATATTCTTTTATATTATATTAATTAATATCTAAAATATGCTATAGTGAAATTTTATTTTTAAATTTTTATATTCTGCCATTCCACATAATTTATCTAATTGCATACAAAAATATATTCCGTAATTTTTTATTACGCAGATTAATATTTGTTTCTGCAATTTTGCAATTATTAATATTAACAATCAGAGCTATATGAGAAAAACATAAAAATACGAGATATGCGGAATTGCATTTTTACTTATAAAAAATAAAATAAAATTCATTACTCAGAAAAATATGTTTAAAGTATATTATCTGCTGAATCAATATTTTATATTATTCAATTACATCAGTATTTATATTTTATTATTTAAATTTATACAAATAAATAGTTTGATACTATAAAAAAATTAATGATAAAAGTGTCTATTATTTTAAAGCTTGTAATATTTTTAGATTCTATATACTTTTGTATTTTGAAAAAAAAATTACAAATTAAATTATGTGATTTTTCGTTTTTTTATTTTTATGATATAAAATATTATAAAAAAATCATTATTGTTAAATACACTCTATTGAAAATATTTTATGTTGGATATAATTTAATTAGATTCAATAATTTAAAATGATTGCAAATAAACTACACTAGTTACGTAAAAAATTTTGATTTAATAGATTTAGATAATATAGCTGTGTTTTTTTGTCCAACTATAATATAGCTTTTTACTTTGAAAATTTCAATAACTTTTTTAACAAAATTAATAAAATCTTTACTTTTATATTCTACTTCTTCAGATATAAATTAATCATGAATATTTAGTTATAATTATCACCAATTAAATAGCTAATTTTTTTCTTATCAACAAAGATAGCTAATCTTTATTTTCTTATATTTTATTTGATCAAAATATATAATCTAAACTATTAAAAGAGGATCATTCTTGAAATATGTACAAATCTTACCATGGTATTTACAAGTTCTGTCATTAAATTTGCTAGAGAATGTCATAATTTCATTAAGGATATATTCGACTTAAGCGGTTTTAGTCCTAAACTACAAGTCTATAGTAATTCAAATGCACCTTCAAACATCAGAATATATAATACATTTGGAATGACTTACAAATTGTATCATTTAGGATTTGATCCAAATTATGCTTTTTTCTTAGCTTGAACCGCAATCTCTAAATCTAATTTTCACTCTCCTTCACTCACCTGATATTAAACATCAAAATTTTGAAGCCTGTTATCAGAAATAAATTGTTCCCTTCAAACATCAGAAGATTTCACATCAAAAAAAAAAAAAGTTGATATTGTGTGAAATGCATGAAAATCAAGCAGTGAACTAAAATGAGTTGTATTATCCAATATAGCTTACACACAAAGATATTTCGATTCAAGACTTTAACCAAAGATTTGAACTAAATACAGGAAATGAGATGCATGATAACGATTATCAAAAATTTCCAAGTCGACCTTCTGTGAAATGCATAATCTAGACCAGTTTAAAAGTACAAATCAAGCAGTGAACAGTGTCCAAATCAATTAGTAGGATTTTAACGGTTTCACAAATTAGACCACACATATTAACGAACTATTATTCTTACAGTATGTGTATATGCACATACATCATTAATAATGATATAAAGTATTTCATAAATACATTAAACTATACTTAAGAAAGAGTATAATACTCTTGCATTTTCTAAACAAATATTAAATTTCAAATTTGAAGATCCGATGATATATCGTCCAAAATTACTATTCTAAATTTTAAATTTTCCGTTTTTATAATAACCAAATCTTATGAAACTGGAATTCTCTAAAGTTTCGGTGATATCATCTTAATATTACCAAACAAAGATCTTCCAAATGTATTTAAACCAATTATCAAATCTTCTCAGTGTATATTCTGTTTCAATGTATTTATCCATAATCTTGTGTTAAATTACATTGAAACTATACGAACTAAATTATTCTTTACCATAACTATTTAGCTTATATATATATATATATATATGATTCGGTTAGAGAAAAGATTGCATTCCTATCAAATCTATGCGTGTATATATAGTAAATACATTGCTCACTCAGAACCTAAACACATCATTCTCAATGTAAACAAAAATATATACTATCACAGTCCCGAGAAAAATGAGTTGTTAGTCTATTTCACTAACCTTTCTGATGTAAAACCTTTCACGACAGGATGGTGAATCCATGTAAAAGCCATCCCTTCTTCAATGCAGTACACAGCACAATCTGGTGAAACTCACGGCACAATCTGGTGAAACTGAGGAACTCATTTTAGAGAAGATTGACTTTAACTCTATACAAATATCTAACCAGTTTTCAGTGGTTTCATTCAATTTCTTCCTGGTTTGTAGGTTTTCAAGTTATATTAAGTTTTAATTCAATTTTACTAATGAATCTATTAAACAAACTGTTTATGGTCTTTGCAGATAATAATGGCGAAGTAGTGGATGATAAAGATTTTGAAAATATTCAAATAAATCGAAAAAAAGAAAGAAAATATATTGTGTTTTTTCTAAGTGTCACTAAGTAAGTTTGTTAAAAAAATTTGTACATTCTATATTTTAATGGTATCTAATAACTACCATTCTATATTTTATCATTGGAAATCTAATCACACACCTTAAACTTTTGAACTTGACAACAATACTCCTTCTCTTCTTCAGAGTCCAATTATTGTCATCAGTCCAGAGATCTTCTTCTAAAATTGGAGTTGAAGGAGCAGAGGCTGAGTGACTTGGAGACTTGGAGTTTTCAGTTTCCTTTGTTTACAAAAACAGAAATCCAGAAGAAGGGAACTTAAATAAACACTCCAAATCAATCAATCAACGACATTAGAGAAATCAGAGATCAATAACTCAATAAAATCTCAATTCAATAGAAACATTCAGCGAAAAGTGATCGCAAAACCCAAAAATGCATGTAAACTATATTTGTCCGTTCATTGGAAAATTCTGTAAAAATAACATCAAATTCGTGAACCAGATCGATCAAACTAACTTTAATTGACCTAAACCATCAGCTTAACGAAACATATGCCTTTAACCACGAGAAATATTATCTCCATTCCCAGATCCAGAACTTGTCTTACTAACATTTCCTCTCCCTCACTCTGAATTGCAGAATTGAACAGGGTGTGGAATTTTCCTTAAAGCTTTAGTTCCGAGATATAAAGATTTCAGGAATTTGCAGAAAGAAAGATTGAATCAGTTGGTCGTTGATTTTTCCTTATTTGCTTTGATGACCTTTCTGCGTTGATGTTTCTTAATTAATAATTAAACAAGTTAAACAATACTTGATGATTATAGTATTGGGCTTGCGATAAAGATAAGAGAGATTTATTTAGAAACACAGTTCTCAAATATGTTTTTCAAAATAAGGCACTTTAGTGAAGAAAGACACTTTGGCAAATTATTGTCACATGTGCTGACTATTTTATTCTTACATCCAAATTTGTAGGTTTAGTTAATTTACTCTCAATTTACTTACACCGATTATAATTGGATAAATCGTGTAACTCCGACGAAGGACGAGAGTGAGAGCTATCACAACAGGATTAAGTTCCATTTTAGATTTTGCTGAGCATTTCTATTTTGCAGGCTAATGATATAGTAGTATTAAGGGATAAATTCATGTGTGTGATTTGTTAGATCTGATAATATCTACGCTTTTGAGTTGGTGCATGGGCATGATTGATGGATTCAATGGATGGATGCAGTGTGGATGGATGTGGTGGATGGATGAAGTGTGGATGAACACAGTCGATGAACATGGTAGATGGACGCATTGGATGCACATGATAGATGGATGGATTCACATAGTAGATGGATGCACTTGGCGTATGGATGCACAAAATGGATGGATGCACGGTAAATTGATGCACATGATAAATGGATGCACATGGTGGATGGATGCAGATGGTGCACATGTCATATGGATGCACAAGGTGGATGAATGCAGAAAGTGGATAGATGCACATGGTGGATGGTCGGATTTACCTATCATCCCGAAGACAATACTATAATGCAATTAGACTACCGAAGAAATAGAAAGTGATGGGACGAATAAATTATCGGCGGAGACATAGAAGGTGTGGAATTGAGAAATTAGTAGATTCAAAGACTTAGGTTTGATTGGAATTTCATCAAAAAGAAATCTGATATTGTTATTCGATATAGTTATAGTTCTGATGAACTGAGAAAACTGAATCTGGATTTGGGTTTGAGGTGATTTGAAGACGACAGCAATAGTGTTTCTACATAATCGTAGAAAGAATGTTATGATGGTCAAAATAGGGTTGGCAAATAGTAAAGGCAAATTTGTCTATTCTACTAGCGAAAATGTGATTATGTTATAAAGTGTCTTAAATTGTTATTACACTTTGAGAAAGTGCCTCCGTTGGTAATTTTCTCTAAAGATAATAACAAATATAGTATTGAGCAATTTAGGCTTAATGAAATTTAATTACAAGTGGGTTTTTGGTGGTGTTTACCTTATTTAAACAAACCTTATTTAACAACAAAAATGGACTAATCAATTAAAATAGAACCTAACTAAAATAAAAAATCATTTTTCTTTTTAATTAATGTATATCTTTTTCAAATTTTCCTTTTCATTTTAGTTAGGTTCTATTTTCATTTTTCCTTTCCTTTTTATTTTATTACTTTTTTATTTTTTATAATAAGATGGTAAATTTTTATTATATTTGGTTATCAAATTTTCCTTTTTATTTATTGCTACTTTTTTCATTTTATTGAAAATATATTTTTGAGAGCTATGAACAACTCAAAACTATCTGCAAAATTTTTATTTGACAGTTATAACAGGTTCAAATATTATAAATCTATCTATAGTTAGCGATGCCAATAAAAATCGATCAATATTTTTTTGTTCCATTCAACTAATCAAAAATAATAAAATGAGGTCTAAAGACAAAAATATGAAGTTGGGCCACAAAAAGTTCTTTAACAATGTAAGCTTCACTTATATCGGGTCCAATTTGTTTTTATAAAAAAAAACTGTGCATAGCACAAAATTTTGGTGACTAAATTAAATTGTTAGAAATTGGTTTGAGAGAAAACTTTTCCAATTTCGGAAAAAAATGATTTAATTTGTTGTCTAAAGAAAAAATAGACAGAGTCTAAGCCAAATCAAATCAATTTTCGGTTGGGATATACAGTAATACCTCTATAAATTATTAATGTTGAGACTTCAAAATTTATTAATTTATAGAGTTATTAATTTATCGATAAATTAATATTTTATTAATTTATAGAGAGATATTTCAGTTCAAATTCAAAATGTTTGTCAAAAACAAAAACAAAATATTTTCAACAATGTCAAATTTATTCAGAAAATATAATATAAGTGAATTTGAAAAATAAGTCAAACAATTTTTATAAACTTGAATTAATAATAATATTATATTTTACTATATTATATTATTTATATATGCTAAAATGTATAATTATTAATTTACCTAATTATTGGGAATATATTTTATATAGGAGTTTCAAAAAAATTATTATCTTATTATTTTATCGAACTTTATTAATTTTTACACTATCCCGAATTGGAACTGGTAAAAATTATTAATTTATAGTGATTATTAATTTATCGAGTATTAATTTATAGAGCGTATACTGTATTTTTGAATTTAATAACATAGAACGATTTTTACTATAGTTTTAAAAAAATTGTAAAAAGAAACCCGGGCAAGGTGCGTGGGTCCAAAATTTAGTTACTCAATTATAAAAATATAATCATCAAATAATTATAGTATTTAACCGTAAATGTAGTAACCAGATCATATTTAAATATAATTATTTTAACCATAACTATTTTAACCGTATACTAAATGGTTAAAGTTACAGTTTAAAAATAATATAGTCATAACTGGCAATTAAATAACTTTAACGGTATTAATTGTAATTGTGGTCATGCCTAAGTCCTACCTAAATTCTTTTTAGTTTGAGCCTGGAATTCTTGAAACTGTTTACAAAATTGTAACCTATGTATATTTATAAATTTAAAAAATTTCTATTATTTTAGTAGAGAATTTACAAGGGTATTTTATTTTATTTTATTTTATATTAAAATTAATTTGCATATATGTTTGTTGGGTCTATTTTTACTATGTTTTATCAATGAAGGACACAATGATAGTAGATTTGGCTAAATTGATGAGTTTGCCTGCTAGACATGCTCAACAACTCTCTAGCTAATTGTTCCTTGTAATTGGCAGGTTTTCCAATGCGCGAGCGTGCTATGGTAGCGTACCAAGTCCCTTTGAGCGCCTCTCTGATGGGATATATCAGAGGGAAAAGTATATAAGAGGTCTAACCCCCTCCCCCTGGAAAGAATAGAAAGAGAAAATCTAGAGACGAAAAAGATGATGGAACGAGAGAAAGAAACAAGAAGATGGAGGACGGTATGAACACCAAAGCCTCGCTGTAACCGACCAGCCAAGCTTAGCAGCATGACTGAATGAGAAGCCCGCCCCCCCCCCCCCCCCCCCCCCCCCCCCCCCCCCCAGACGGATCGCCAACTGAGATAAGCATTCACTTGTTTCCTATCTCTTTATTTTAGCTCCATTAAGAGAGAACTCCAACCCCACTCTCCAAATAGTCCATTCATTCTACGTTATCCTTAGTAGATGAGTATCACGATCCTCAGACGGGATACTCAAACCACAAAACCATCACCACCCATATATCCTCCTGATTATCCGCTCCCAGTAGGACGTAGTCTAACTTGAGCATTGGAGAACCTTCAGGAGGGAAACCCCTTTCCGGTCTCCCAAATGCTTGTGAACCATCCGCTCACCTGCTGCGAATGTCTGTAGAACCCGGACAGTTTCACACCTAAGGACTGCATATTGCTCAACCCCCGAGAAGACAAATCTGAGAGGCTTAGCTCTGCTACTCAGACGAACACACATACCTGTAAGTAACCTCTAATTTGCTCCAGAACTTTTGGTTCTAAAAAGGGGAGTAGACCGATATGCTGTCCAACGAAGAAATTAGCCAACGGTGCAGCAAAGAAACTAACCGATGGTATGGTCCAAAACCCATGAAGGTTGAAAAAAGGTAGAGCCGGCCAGGAGACTCTGTGCGAATAGATAACTATGTGCGAGTAGGACAGAAACTAAATTGCGCAAAATATTCTATCCTTTTTGGAAGTAAGGTCTCAACAGAGAAAAAGGCAGAGTTGAAACAAGCGCTAAGCATCTCTAAAGAGGGTGGTATAGATATGTATATGGTGTAAAAAACGATGATTAATTCAGTTTTAAAATGATAATATTGACTGAGAGATTTATACGTTAAATAAAAGTTACTTGAGAGTTTTCTACATTAAATCTTAGTTTAGTGGTTTATACCCGAACCATCTTTAGGTGGGGGGTTTTTACGTTAAAACCCCATTAAAAAGAAACTAAAAAAACCATGTGAGAAACTAAAAAATTGAATGGGCGCAAAGAAGAAAATTAGAGAATGATTTAATAATTTCCCCCTCCTTAATACATCCCAGTATTGCTTTGTGTACCACCGCCTCCTCGTAGGACCCCAACATCATAGACCGGCATAAAATCCGGTCTGAACAGCCCCCAGTTTTTCCCAGATAAAGTGGGTTTACCATCCTCATTGAACAGTGCGAATATGAAGATGCCGATGTGGCGGTTGGGCATAAGAGGCGTGCATATGTTCTGCGCACGCTTGATGATATTGAGATTGTAGTTTGCAGCGTTTTGAGGTGTGCACCATGATGCCTCGCCAACGCTAGGCCAACCGGTTTCCCCAATGGCGATATCTACGTCTCCATAGCCGAGAGCATTTATAGCTGAGTAAGTTGCATCCATTGTTGTGTCGAACATGTTGGTGTATGTGTGGTTTGAGTTAGCATCGGTTATAGCAAGTGACGAACCAAATATTGCGTAGTTTACATTGCTCGCGTCCGTCATGAAATAAGTGTAAGGGTTGATCATGAATGGGGACTTGTTTTGACGATTGAACATCAAGATATTAGCATAGAAGTCCCTTTGATCGTCGGTAAATTTGCTCTTGCTTGGTGCATTTATGTTAAAGTCTACGGTAAACGCATGTGGAGTTGTCACCTAGAAACAAATTATGTAACTTTACATTAGCATTCACTTATCATTATATAATAATAAGTTGTGATCTTTTATATCATTAATAACAAATAACACTGTTTATTTCAAAGCTAGCTACTATATATAAAATATTATTTTCTAACAAATAAAACATGGAACTAACACATGCAATCTACTGGTTTGTGTTAGTGTCGTTTTCATGTCACTATTCATGGATTCAAAACAGCATAAATTGAACATACAATATCATTGATAAATAACGTGGTAGATATATATCATAGTGACTTGAAACTGACCATCATATCCATGAGACCGGAAGCTTTCAAAGCATCGTTCAGACTTTGTATCGCCGGTAAAAGACTTGACTTCAAGTTATCATCATTACTGAGAATAATCTCGTTCCCAACACAAATGTATTTGATCTTGGCCTGCTGGTGAAATGGCAAGACATTGGAAGCTACCCATTGAAGAGAATTTTCAACTTGGACCGTCCCCAGGATGCGATCGTTAGGGACTATAATGGTGATGTCGATTCCAGTTCCTGCTAGGGCTTGGAGGATGTCTGGATTGGCATCAAAGATCTTGACAGCGTCGATAATGGTCTTTGTATTGATGAATTCTATCACTTGTTGCGGTGGTGGAAGGTTCCCTAATGTTCCATAGTTGATACCTATGGCGGAAGTCACAGCTGAGAGCTGGAAGAACACAGCGGAGACAAGGAGGAGTGAAGCGGGAGGGAAAAACGGTGATGATTTGGCCATAAATTTGTTTCGAAGAAAGCGTTTGAATAATAATAGCATTAGGCTAAGAATATGTGTATTTATACTAGATAATGCTGATCGACGTTTTTGGATTTTTAACACTAGTATTAAAAGTCATGATTTTTATCTTTAAGTACAAAATTAGATGTAAATGGTAAGCCCATGGAGTTTTATTCTATGCAAGATTTTGAAATTTGATGTTATATACAAAAATCGGTCGGAAAGAAATTGTGAACATTGAATAATAAAATATAATACCAGTCGGAAAAAAATTGTGAACATTGAATGGTATTAAAAGTCTTATGATTTTTACCTTTAAGCAAAAATTAGAAATAGATGGTAAGGACGTGGAGTTTTATTTTATGTAAGATTCTGAAATGAGATATTGGATAGAACTACAAGAACCGGTCGGAATGATTAAACCCAAAAAAAAACAATCGGTCGAAAGAAATCATGAACATTAAATAATATTTTTTACTCCTTTTGTTTCAAAAATTTTAATTTTTTAAAAATGTATACCACATATATTGATTTTTTAAAATATTAAAAAACATTTCTATAGATTTTTTAAAAAAGTAATTAAATCTATTTCAAATTTTAAATTGTTATTGACTCTTTATTAGACTTAAAAATGCATATGGTATTTGGGTAGAAACTACACTTTGGCTGAAAAAAATGATAGTGGATTATTTCCAAGACCTATTTATAACTACTCAACTTCAAAACTTCGATGAGCCTCTCCGGTATGTTACCGCGCAAGTAACTCCAGATATTAGTGCTGCTCTTACAAGCTACTTATCTGATGAGAAAATATAGAAAGCAATCTTTGAGATAAATCCGGAAAAAGCTCCGGGAACAGATGGGATGACCAGCCTCTTTTATCAGAAGTTTTGGGATGTAATCTCGAATGACATTATCAGAGTGGTTAGAGACTTCTTTGCAACAGTTAGGTTTGACTCAAGATTGAACCAGACCAATATATGTCTGATCCCGAAGACAGCGAGACCAGCTGAAATGGCAGAGTTTAAGCTGATAAATTTATGTAACGTCAGTTACAAGTTAATCTCAAAAAATTTTAGCAAGAGGTGTAAAAGATTTCTCCCAAAAATTATGATGGAGACACAATCAGCTTTTGTAGCTCGGCGGCTTATTGCGGAAAATATTCTAGCAGCACAAGAGGTGTTCCATGCTTTGCGAACTAATCCTATCTCTAAGTCAAAATTTGTAGCCATTAAAACAGATATAAGTAAAGTTTAAGATAGGGTTAAGTGGGGTTTTCTCGAAGTTTTGATGCGCAAAATGGAATTTCATGAGAAATGGGTCATGTGGATCAGATGGTGTATCTCGTCAGTGTCATATCAAGTCCTTCTAAATGGAGAAGCGAAAGAGAACATTCGACTCTAAAGAGGTCTACGCTAGGGAGACCCTTTATCTCCCTTTCTATTTGTCATATTAACAGAGGCTTTAATTGCACAAGTCAAATGGGCGGAATAAGAAGGACGAATTACGGGCATTAAAGTGACACAAACTTGTCCACCCATCTCGCGTCTCCTCTTTGCAGATGACAGTTTGTTCTTTTGTAAATCAGATAAGTCAGAATGCGAGGATTGATGAAGATTATTGAGTGCTATGGAAAAGCATCAGGACAGCAACTAAATTGCGCAAAATATTCTATCCTTTTTGGAAGTAAGGTCTCAACAGAGAAAAAGGCAGAGTTAAAACAAGCGCTAACCATCTCTAAAGAGGGTGGTATAGGTATGTATCTGGTGTAAAACACGATGATTAATTAAGTTTTGAAACGATAATATTGACGGAGGGATTTATACGTTAAATATAAATTACTTGAAATTTTTCTACATTAAATCTTAATTTAGTGGTTTATACCCAAACAATCTTTAGGTGGGGGGTTTTTACGTTAAACACCCATTAAAAAGAAAGTAAAAAACCCTTGTAAGAAACTAAAAAACTGAATGGGCGCAAAGAAGAAAATTAGAGAATGATTTAATAATTTCCTCCTCCTTAATACATCCCATTATTGTTTTGTGTGCCACTGCCTCCTCGTAGGACCCCAACATCATAGACCGATCCGGTTTGAACAGCCCCTAGTTTTTCTCAGATAAAGTGGTTTTACCATCCTCATTGAACAACGCGAATATGAAGATGTCGATGTGGCGGTTGGGCATAAGAGGTGTGCCTATGTTCTGCGCACGCTTGATGATATTGAGATTGTAGTTTGCAGCGTTTTGAGGCGTGCACTATGATGCCTTGCCAACGCTAGGCCAACCGGTTTCCCCTACGGCGATATCTACGTCTCCATAGCCGAGAGCATTCATAGCTGAGTAAGTTGCATCTATCGCTGTGTCGAACATGTTGGTGTATATGTGGTTTGTGTTAGCATCGGTTATAGCAAGTGACGAACCAAATATTGCGTAACATTGCTCGCGTCCGTCATGAAATAAGTGTCAGGGTTGATCATGAACGGGGACTTGTTTTGACGATTGAACATCAAGATATTAGCATAGAAGTCCCTTTGATCGTCGGTAAATTTGCTCTTGCTTGGTGCATTTATGTTAAAGTCTACGGTAAACGCATGTGGAGTTGTCACCTAGAAATAAATTATGTAACTTTACATTAGCATGCACTTATCATTATATAATAATAAGTTGTGATCTTGTATATCATTAATAACAAATAACACTGTTTATTTCAAAGCTAGCTACTATATATAAAATATTAGTATCTAACAAATCAAACATGGAACTAACACATGCAATCTACTGGTTTGTGTTAGTGTCATTTTCATGTCACCATTCATAGATTCAAAACCGGCATAAATTAAACATACAGTATCATTGATAAATAATGTGGTAGATATATATCATAGTGACTTGAAACTGACCTTTATATCCATGAGACCGGAAGCTTTCAAAGCATCGTTCAGACTTTGCATCGCCGGTAAAAGACTTGACTTCAAGTTATCATCATTACTGAGAATAATCTCGTTCCCAACACAAATGTATTTGATCTTGGCCTGCTGGTGAAATGGCAAGACATTGGCAGCGACCCATTGAAGAGAATCTTCAACTTGGACCATCCCCGAGATGCGATTGTTAGGGACTATAATGGTGACGTCGATTCCAGTTCCTGCTAGGGCCTGGAGGATGTCTGGATTGGCATTCATGATCTTGACAGCATCGATAATGGTCTTTGTTTTGATGAATTCTACCACTTGTTGCGGTGGTGGAAGGTTCCCTAATGTTCCATAGTTGATACATATGGCGGAAGTCACAGCTGAGAGCTGGAAGATCACGGCGGAGACAAGGAGGAGTGAAGCGGGAGGGAAAAACGGTGATGTTTTGGCCATAACATTGTTTGGAAGAAAGTGTTTGAATAATAATAGCATTAGGCTAAGAATACGTGTATTTATACTAGATAATGATGATCAACTTTTTTGGATTTTTAACACTAGTATTAAAAGTCATGATTTTTACCTTTAAGTACAAAATTAGATGTAGATGGTAAGCTCATGGAGTTTTATTCTATGCAAGATTCTGAAATTTGATGTTATATACAAAAATCGGTCGGAACGAAATCGTGAACATTGAATAATATAATACCAGTCGGAAAAAAATTGTGAACATGGAATGATATTAAAAGTCTTATGATTTTTACCTTTAAGTTGTGAACCAGCCTTTTTTATCAGAAGTTTTGGGATGTAACCTCGAATGACATTATCATAATGGTTAGAGACTTCTTTGCAATAGATAGGTTTGGCTCGAGATTGAACCAGACCAATATATGTCTGATCCTGAAGGCTGCAAGACCAGCTGAAATGGCAGAGTTTAAGCCAATAAGTTTATGTAATGTCAGTTACAAGATAATGTCGAAACTTTTAAGCAAGAGGCTTAAAAAAATTCTCCTGAAACCAATCAGCTTTTGTAGCTCGACAGCTTATTACAGATAATATTCTAGTAGCACAAGAGGTGTTCCATGCTTTGCAAACGAACCTTATATGTAAGTCAAAAATTATAGCCATTAAAACAGACATGAGTAAAGCTTACAATCGGGTTGAGTGGGGGCTTTCTCGAATCTTTGATGCGTAAAATAGGATTTGATGAGAAATGGGTCATGTGGATCAGATGGTGTATCTTTTCAGTGTCATATCAAGTCCTTCTAAATGGAGTAGCGAATGGAAACATTCGACCCTCAAGAGGTCTACGCCAGGGAGATCTTTTATCCCCGTTTCTGTTCATCATATTAACAGAGGCTTTAATTTCACAAGTCAAAGGGGCGGAATCAGAAGGACGAAATACGGGCATCAAAGTGGCACAAACTGTCCATCCATCTTGCATCTCCTCTTTGCAGATGACAGTCTGTTCTTCTATAAAGCAGATAAGTCAGAATACGAGGAATTGATGAAGATTATTGATTGCTATGGAGAAGCATCAGCATAGCAACTAAATTGCGCAAAATCTTCTATCTTTTTTGGAAGTAAGGTCACAACAGAGAAAAAGATGGAGTTAAAACAAGTTCTAGGTATCTCTAAAGTGGGTGGTATGGGTATGGATCTGGGATTACCTGAGAAGATTTGTGGCTAAATTTTGCTTTCATACAAGACAGATTAAGTACTCAGATAAATATATGGTCCACCAAGCTGCTCTCAAAAGGGGGGAAGGAAGTTTTGATTAAGTTGGTAGCACAGGCCCTACCTACTTATGTCTTATCTTGTTTCCTTCTCCCATAAGCTTTGTTAAAGAAGTTAAATGGTGCTATTTCCTGCTTTTGGTAAAGTACAAACAAAATAATAAAGAGATGCATTGGGTTGCCTGGGATAAAATATGTGTAAGCCAAGATAAAACTGGCTTAGGGTTTAGAGACCTTAAAAGCTTTAATCTGACTTCCTAAGCAAAACAACTATGGAGATTGATACATTATCTCATCCATCTTTCTTGACCACCATCAAGCAAGAGGAATCGTGAGTTACAATTATGAATCTATTCAACTTTATTTTTTCTAGTTTGCTCATATTTGAGGTCTTGCTGTTTTGTTTTGTTCTATCATCAAAGGGACATGCGATAAGCAGTCTAGTGAAACTATTGGTTATTTTATGGCTCTTCCAATTGATGTTTTTAACCGTGAGCTACACAGGAGTCCTCATACTAATTTTCACAAAGAAATCAGATTAGAACCTAGAGCCAAACTTGCTTCATCTCAAGAGCTTCAAAGTGTTGAACCATGTATGCATTGCAATCATGGTCTCTGTGTTTTTTTACGACAACAAGGACTCTGGAAGTGTATGTCTAACCGATGTCATAGATGTGTACATGTGGATAGAAAGTTGTGGATTTATGGTTTGACATAGGGTGTGTTACGTGTACCATAACGTGGCTTTGCAAAATAGGTAACCTTAAATTTTATGTCCATGAACATATTGTCTATTTCCTATTGTCTAAGTAGGTAGAGAATTTTATAGTTCCATTGACATGATAATATGGATGGGAATTAAGAATCAGTAGGTCCATGGACATGTTAATATGGGCACTTTTGTCATGGACATATGAACATGGATAAATAGATCGATTATGACTCATACAAATAGATCAATGAAAGAATTTCTAGATTGCAAAAATAAGAATGACATAGCCTTCCCGTGGATTTACTAAAAGAATAGTAGGGTCTGGAAAAATAACAACACCTACAAGCATGGCTTTACAACTCTTTTTGCCAAAACGACGATTTTCGTACTAAAAATATATGGCACAAAAAGTTGTTGCTAACATAGTACCATTCATCAAGTTTTATGCTCTATGTTTTGCTTTCTTCTAATTCGCAGATATGTATATGTAGATCGAAATAGTGAATGACTATTATGCACCAAAGTGCACGCCTTCATTAATGATTGTCCATGAAGGCATGTACAATCAACAGGTTCTATATGGATATATAATTTAAGAATTCTTGTAACAAGGATTTTATTTTCAGAATTGGATAGTACATGTTCGTTGGCGGTTGATATCTATGGCAACTGGGATTGAACTCACAGTCATAGCTCTTTAGATTAAACTGCTCAAATTAACAGCCATCAAGTTATATAGAATAAGCTCAAGTTCATCATTTTATGGCCTAGCATTGAATTGTGAGACAACCTTTAATGTGTCATTGCCTCTTTCTTCTTCAACAGAACTCTCTCCACTTACAACACCATCTCTCACACTTAAAATGACTCATTTTCTCTAAAGTAGCACAATGTATATGGGAAATACGAATGGACACGAAATACACAGACATAAATGCATTCACGAATGGACGATGTTCGAATGTACATCATGCTTCTTCTTCAACAGAACTCTCTTCATCCATGCATGGACAAAGTACGAATGGACATGGAATGCATGGAAAAAATGTGTGCATGCAATAAGTATCACAAATGGTCAGCCTCAGATGGACAGACACGAGTTGTTTCGCTGTAGAGAGTTGTTACTTTCAATGTCCGACTCTAAGATGTTTCCAATGATAGTGATGGAGTAGATATGAGTTTGGAAAGCGGTAAAATTGCAAAAGTTGGTTCATATATTGGTTTATTAATTTCAAGATCATGAAGCCTCTAGCAGATTCATATGTTTGTTCTCTAATTCCAAAAATCAGTTCTCATTCTGCCTAACCAAACAAAGCCATTCATATGTACATTCCGTTATTGTGTATATTTTCTTCGTCTTCTCTGTTGATTGCGATAAAAAAAAATTCCGATATTTTCAGAATCCTACCCATGGAAACAGAATAATCTATTGGAATTTAACGGTTTTACATAATGAGTGTCCAAAAAGCAAGTTTCAAAACCTCCACGCTTCGATAACGAATTGAAACCTCGAATCTGAAAACTTTTTCTTTGACTTATTCACAGTCTTCGTACATAACAAATGATTTCACCTACAATTTCTGTCCAAACCCAATTCATGCTTCCCCTAACACAGTTGTGGACCACCCTCACAACAATGTTTCCCCTACATGGTAATTAATAATCATATAGACAAACCCAAAGCATAGATAGCTCAGATCTGCAATTACTCTGGCGGCACTAAATCTATGCACAAACAATAAAAACTAGGTGAACGGCATGCACCATGTGCAGGCTACAAAACATTTTATATGTTCAATTATGATTAATAGAGTATTAAAGATGTTTTATTTGTATATGATTAATTATGTATTAATAATAAAATAATAAATATTAATGATAAAAAATAACTATAAATTAAATATAAATATTATATATTTTAATAGAAAATAAAGAAAAAAATGTTAACTAAGATATTTCCATATTTACACTGAAAATAAGTTTTTAGGACAAATATAACAGGAAAGCTAAAAAATTTCCACTCTCTAACATTTTTCATTTGATCTTTTTGATTTTGCCTTTTTGGAAAGTTTTCCTAAATGTTTTTTTTTGTCAATATTTCGTGATTTTTTACAAAGGTCTTCTAAATATTAAAATTCAATATCGTTTCATATGATTTAGGAAAGTTTGCCTAAATTTTTAAAAAATTCCTGAATTTTGGAAGGGCTTTCCTGAACTGTGGAAAAGCAGAGCTTACTAAATTGTGGAATGCTTTCTGAATTTGAGTTATTGTATAATTTAACAAAAAAAAAATTAATTATATGATTGACAAAGGCTTTCCTAAATACATATAATGACTTCCTTAATTTATACATTTTAGGAATGTCTTCCTAAACGTTTGGAATATCTTCCTAAATTTACTCTCATCTCCTTCCTCACCTCTGCGACACTCAAACCCTAATTTCTGATGATTTCTTTTTTTTCACCATTGTTGTTGTTTTAGCTCGGGTTTCTTGAGTTTTTCACCCTATTATATCAGATCTATATTCTACTATATGATTTTGAGCTTTAAATCCTGAAAACACTTTTCCATAAAAAAACTTCAAAGATCTAAAATATTCACAATTATAAATCACAATCAAAAGAGAAGAGCAATCCTAAGCAAAAAAAAAGATTCAAATTTCAGATCAGTCTTGGCCATTGATACCTTTGTTTATACACTATTTTTTCTCATTTTATCAACTAATATTTTTTCTAACTAAGGTTAATATGGTCAACTCTTTAGTGATAAATGTTATGGAAGAAATATTTTAAAGTGCTAGTGTATATTGGGAACAAAAACTTAGATTAGGTGTATTTGACGGTATTTCTATCGATAAAAAAAATTAAATATGATAAATAAATAAACGGGAAAATATTAAAATATATAATAATTTATTTCATTGTTATTTTTGGCATGCACGCATGTGCAAGTATAATTTTTTATAGATATAATTAGTTGTAATATTTAAGTATTGATTAATTTTCTTAGACATTATGTAAATGTTATGTTTTTATTCATTTACAATTTTAGTGTTCAACAACAATCACACAAACGTTTCATATTGTTTTGTGTCTTCTGAAAACTTTTTATTTTTTCTAGTATTTACAGTAACATATAATTGCAAATCTAAAATTTATATTCAATAATAATTAAATTATTATAATATGTTTTGAATATTATCTATATAATACTTTCTTTTTCTTTTTACATAACATAATCTTGCCAATATATATATATATATATATATATTTTAAGTATACATTTTTCTAGACATATTGCTAACTAAACCAAAATGAATTTTACGATATTTATTTATCCTAAGAGCGGATAAATGGTTGGTCTGCACATTCGTGTGTACCAACCACCTCACTGCTCTTAGGACACATAAAAGTTTTTAAAAAAATATAAATTATCTAATAACTAAAATTAAAATTAGAGTGTAATCTAGGTTAGCAGAATGTATGCACGATAAGTTTGCAAGCGAGTTTGATTTTTGCATAATTAATATTTATATCTACACGTATATTTGTAAAAAAAATCAAAAGTATGGTTTTTATGTGTTAAAAGAAAATAACAAAGTATATGTTTTGTAATATATATTTTGATAATGCATTGTTGATTTTAAAAATAAATAATGATAAGTATATTTATTCATGTAAGAATGAGTTAGAAATACGTGAATTTTAATATTTAGGTGTTGTAAGTTTTTTCTAGTATTTTTCACAAATGTTATGTTTTTACACGATACAATTATTGACGTTTAACAACAATCACGAAAACTATTTCTATCGCTTTGTGTTTAATCAAAATTTCTTATTTTTCAGCGTTTGATGATATATGGTTTTAAAAATATAATAAACTTTTTTTATAAAACATGTGAAATCATATTTTAGAAAATTCTCCGGTAGATCTTCGCTCATCTCTTCGTTAAATTTTTTATAATCCACAATCGCTCGTTTTCACAAATTCTCTGTAATTGAATCATTTAAACCAATTGGATTTTTACTTAAATCAAAGTCTGAAATACTCATTTTTACTTTTACTTTTATTTTTTATTCATATATGTAGTATTATAATAAAACAAATTTAGCTAAGAAGATAGTTATAATTTTTTTTCTGTGAACGAAGCATTTTTTTTGGCCTTTGAGCGGCCTTTCTCTCCTCTCTCCCTTCTCTCTAGATCTCAATTGACATTTTCTCCGGTTTGCCTGTCCGACGTCTTTGCCGGACAGGGCTTCTTTATTCTATTTGGCCGGTGCTTCATCTTTGGTTTTAGTGTTGTGGATCTGGGCTTTTCGGCGTTGCTGCGGTGGCTCGATGGTTGTCTCTTCGGCAGTGGTGTTTTGTGGATCTCAGATCTAACTAGGACTAGATGGGGGTGAAGCTTAGTGTCATTTTCCGGTGAGTCTCGTTCGTGCTCTCTTCTCAGCGAGGTCTTCTGGTCTTCCCGGTTGTTGCTGTGGGGGTAGCCAGCAGGAGTGGGTGTTGCGACGGCGGTGAGGGGTTCTTGGGAGTTGAAACTGTCGGAGTTCTCATTAGTAAGGACGGTTGTTTTGAGGGTGCAGCCGGTTCATGAAAAGAGATCTCCGGTGGCGGCAAGGGTATCGGGGGTACAATCTGTCGAGGTTCTCATGAGTAAGGCTGATTGTTTTGAGGGCGCAGCTGGTTCATAAAAGGAGATCCCCGGCGGCGGCTAGATGTGGATCGGATCTCTCTCTCTCCAAAATAGTCTCTTTTCTCTGGGCGAGCTCTCTTGTTGTGGTACGAAAGAGGTCTTCGTCTTCCTCTTTGAGTGGTTGCGGTTTCGTAGGTTTGTTCCAGTTTCAGATTTATCCAGGGGCGACTTCTCGACGACTTCAACAAAGTTAGGTGTCTCCCGGTTAGACTGGTTTGTGCTTTAACCGAGCCCATTAGGGGTTTATTGGGCCTTGTTTTTCTTTTTCTTGTCTTTTCCTTTTCTTTTGTACATTGTAAAATCCAAAAGACCAAAAAAAAAAATTTCAATATGACAATCCTTTAACAAAAAAAAAAAATAATAATAATTTTTTTTTCTATTTGTTTATTTTTTTATTTATAATTTCGAATTCTTGCTATATAAAGAGAATTCATTCATATATGGTATAAACTATTTTTTTTTATTTAAAAATAAGATTTATTTAGTTTTAATTTAACCAATCAAAATATTTTGTTTATTTTAGAAAATTTATCATGTCATATTTATGAAGTGACATTGTTTCGCACTAAATTTTTTTAAAGTGTTAACATATACGATTTTTTTAGTAAACATACTTCTCAAATAATAGTTAGGATTAAACATTAAAACCATTTTCAATGTGTTTTTCTATTTTTTCTTCTTTAATATAAGTCGTCTTCTCTCTCACCTATTTCTATTTTACAGAAGAAAAAAAATTATTATTTTTTCCTCTATTAATAACAACTTTTCTTTTTCCTCTAAATTAGAAGATTTAAAATAAAGGTGGGTTGAAGATGTTTTAAGCAAAAAATATAGTGTGGAATTTTTACTTGAAATCAAATTCTTAAATATTTATTTTTACTTTTACTTCTACTTTTTATTCATATATATAGTATTATAATAAAAAAAATTTAGCTAAGAAGATATAGTTATAATTTCTTCTTCTATCTGTTTATTGTTTTTTTATTTATAATGAGAATTATTGCTATATAATGAGAATTCATTCATATATGATATAAACTATTTTTTCTTATTTAAAAATAAGATTTATTTAGTTTTAACTTAAACAATCAAAACATTTCGTTTATTTTAGAAAATTTGCCATGTCATATTTATGAAGTGATATTATTTTGCACTAAAAATTTTTAAGGTGTTGACACATACGATTTTTTTAGTAAACATACTTCTTAAATAATAGTTAGGATTAAACATTAAGACTATTTTCAATGTGTTTTTCTATTTTTTCTTCTTTAATATAAGTCGTCTTCTCTCCCACCTATTTCTATTTTACAGAAGAAAAAAAATTGTTATTTTTTCCTCTATTAATAACAACTTTTCTTTTTCCTCTAAATTAGAAGATTTAAAATAAAGATGGGTTGAAGATGTTTTAAGCAAAAAATATAGTCTGGAATTTTTACTTGAAATCAAATTCTTAAATATTTATTTTTACTTTTACTTCTATTTTTTATTCATATATATAGTATTATAATAAAAAAATTAGCTAAGAAGATATAATTATAATTTCTTCTTCTATCTGTTTATTGTTTTTTTTATTTATAATGAGAATTATTGCTATATAATGAGAATTCATTCATATATGATATAAACTATTTTTTTTATTTAAAAATAAGATTTATTTAGTTTTAACTTAACCAATCAAAATATTTCGTTTATTTTAGAAAATTTGCCATGTCATATTTATGAAATGGCATTGTTTTGCACTAACTTTTCTTAAGGTATAGACACATAGGATTTTTTTAGTAAACATGTTTCTCAAATAATAGTTATGATTAAACATTGAGATCATTTCTAATGTATTTTTCTATTTTTTCTTCTTTAATAAGTCGTCTTCTCTCCAACCTATTTTTACAGGAAAAAAAATTGTTATTTTTTCCTCTAAATTAACAGATTTAAAATAAAGGTGGGTTGAAGATGTTTTAAACAAATAATAGAGTCTGGAATTTTTACTTAAAAATCAAAATCTTAAATATTTATTTTTACTTTTACTTCTACTTTTTATTTATATATATAGTATTGTAATAAAAAAAATTATCTAAGAAGATAGTTATAATTTCTTTTTATATCTGTTTGTTTTTTTTATTTTATTTATAATTTCGAATTCTTGCTATATAATGAAAATTTATTCATATATGATATAAATTATTTTTTTATTTAAAAATAAAATTTATTTTCTTTAACTTAACCAATCAAAATATTTCGATTATTTTAGGAAATTTGACATATCACATTTATGAAGTGGCATGATTCTGCACTAACTTTTCTTAAAATGTTGACACATGATTTTTTTTAATAAACATGCTTCTCATAGGATTATCACTGCCAAGAGGGTAAAATTATAACGGATAGTTTAGACTTTTTCTGTTATATACTATCAAAATATCACAAAGTGCCTAATAAGCAAGAAATGCTTATAATGTAAGTGGGAAAAGTGAGTTTATCTGCAAATAACTCACTTGATACCATCAAATAAAAATTAAAGCCAATTAGTTCAATTAATTTGATGACCAAAAAGCCTCCAAGTAAATAAATGGAGAAAATTCAAAAACCCTCTGCGCTATATAAGTAATCGGGTTTAAAGAATCTGATAATACAAATAATTAGACATTAATTGAAGTATTTAAATGGAGGAAAAAAATGTGTTACAATCTCTTCAAGACTGTACAACTTCAAGAGGATCTTTTACACAAAACCCATAAGCAACGACAGTAACTAAGAAGGGCCTATCCTCAAATTTACATCACTCGATACAAATTCAAAAGTAAGAACCAAAAGCGAAACAGAACAAGACCAGAAAAGCAGAAAGTTCAAGTGTTTCTTGATGTTACTGGGTTCTGGATTTGATCTATGCAGCAGCTGATTCAATCTTATCGACAACTTCTAGCCGTGTTTTCCTCTTCCAGCCTTTCATGGTGGCTACTAAATTCACTAGTCCAATGACTTGTCCTTTTGTATATTCCTGTATATGTTTGCAATCCATTTTCATCAAGTCGTTCTACTAAAAGCAAATTCCATATGTTTGGTTTACGCAAGAACAAACAAAAACAAAGAAGATTTGTTTGTTTACCGGATGAGCCCTTGCCCAGTGAACATATTCCGTCTCTGGTAGATAGTATGCCTGCAAAAACAAGTGGTGGTTTCGATTTTTAAGTGTGAATCACCAGCACATTATGATCTTGAGTCTGCAGTCTCACATGAGTTTCTGTTTTGCTTACCTTGATAAATGTATCGACTATTTGTAACTTCGGCTTCACATTTGTTGGCACAAAGTGTTGTAGCCCGTTTATTAGAACCTACAGCCAAACTCATCCGCATACATATTAAGTACAACGCGTCTGTGTAGAAGAGAAGTACACTGGAAAAAGAAAAAGAGGAAAAGTACCTGAATATCTAGTGACATGAGAGCACGTCCTTCATCAGTACATCTTTTTATTCGAGATAAACCTTCAACGAGCATTTCCGCAAATATTTCCACTCCATATTCCAGTAGAAGGTTTTGGACCTATATATGAAAAAAGAGTTCAAAGTGGATACAGATTTCCATAAATTTTGAGAAGATAACATGCTCAATCTGATATCTTAATCAAATTGAATTGCATGCAGGTCAGTTGAACGTTTATGCAGCATAATTTGTTCAGTTTGATTGTCACACTCACTAAAATAAGAAGGCAAAACCTAAACAGGAGCTAACCCAGTTTACAGATGCAAGCATCGATATTTTTCTAACAATGTATTCAACTCCTAGAATTGTTGAGGTCAGAGAGTTATTTACCTCCTGTGGAATGCCTCCATGAGCAAGCCTTGTTTTGTAGTGTTTGAATTCCCCGAGCATCAAATCAACATACCTGTTAGTTCAAAAAGTTTGCTTAATATAAGATGGCAACGATGCAATCAATGGTCCAACAGGCCAAGCAAACTGGCCAGAATCTAGTTCTAGAGTATCAACCTAAATCTTAAATATTAACTCAGCAATTAAATAAGCGGCTTGCCAGTGATAACTTGTACATCTACACAACTAAGTATTTCATGATTTAATTTAAGTTGCAGATAGAAATATCGAAGAGCAAATGGAGTAACAGATTGATGAAGTGACAAACCCATTATGCTCCACTCCAAGCTCCTTGACTTCCCATTTAGAATTAGCAATCCGGTCGACATATCTGTAAAATCAGTTAAAGGTGAATGAAACATATGAACCTCAATGAGAACAATTAACAAAAAAAAAAAAAAAAAAAAACAAGGTTCGACTTAACCATAATGTTTGAATGCACAGTATATACATTTGGTGTAACATATTTGAAATATTCAGAGGTCGGTAAGAATAAGAACAGAAAGCACAAGGGAGGAGAAATATGCAATCCAACTAATAACATTCTTAAGTAGATCAGAAATTTACCCATTAACATGCAGCAGTATCCTCGCAGTTGTCCTATGTAAGTGCTCTGTTAGATCAGGTACGGAACCAACCTGATGAATCATTCCACTTAATGCAACTCTTCCAAATATATTTGCTACCACATATTGTAAATAAATAGTTCTTGACTAATATATATATGTAAGGAAAATTAATTTAGTAAAGGAATACAATGAAAGTACTTATAATCATGTCCTACATAATCCATTATTTTTGTAGAGGTAAAAGATTATTGGATGCTACAGAGGTCTGTGTATACTCAATTTTAAGAAAGTTGTCAACATCACAGCCAAATAAGGCAATATATTTCCAGCCAGAGTTTCTCTTAATTTAAGGAATCAGAAGTGAAAGAGGCGCATACCAATTGACCATAGAAGTCTTCAACCAGAGAGCCATTTCTTGACATAAGCATTGATTGGAGATGAGCCTTTGATTTATGCAATATCCGAGCCACAAGAGAAACAGTGTCCACTGCAGCACATCTTTCCTGCAAGCGATAATCATGTGTTAAAAAAACCTTTTATTAAATAACCTTGAGATGATATGAAGAAGTAAGGCAGCTGCTCTCTCTTCTCAAACTCATCTATGAAATACGTGAGACATAAATGAATAAGAATGTTTATATTAAGGGTTACTAGTGGACAGAAAACAAACTAACTGTGGTTCAGATTGATATTTATACCTTGAGACTAAAAGATACGCCTGATAAGTGACCAGAAATTGTATTTAAGGGATTTGCTAGAGTCACGTCTGCAAGGCTATGAACAGTGTTGGGAAAGGCAAGTGAGGAGGATGGTGATGATGAAAACTGAGGTTTTATCCATTGCTCACATTCTTGTGATATCCGGGATAAGCTGCTTTTCAAACGATCTGCAATTTAAAAATAATTGTAGCCTTAAAAACTATAACATGAATATACTGAAGCTAGTCAGAAGTAACATTACAAACAAAGAGCAGTATCAAAAGGAAAAAAAATCAGTTACTTACGATTGAAAGAGTCAGCAACTCCTTTTCCACCTGAATTTGTATTTTCTTGACCAAATACTTGAAACACGAAATAGAAAAAGACCCCAAACAATTGGCATATTCCCTACAAAATTTCAAACAGGTGTAAAAGAAACTTCAGTAGAGAAATAGTGGGAGAAAAATAGAGAAATCTGCACAATTTCTAAAATTAGGATTGGTACCTTAAAGAATTCAACATTAACAATCTCTAGTTTCTGCATAAGCCTTGCGTACTTATCCATTGATCTAAGACAAAGAACACAGTTATCACAATCCCATGTCACAAAAGTGACCCGTCACTCTAATTTCGAGCTTTTACTAAACCGCATATTACCTTAGAAGACAAAGGGAAGATCCAGTTTGAGCTGTCAAATCATCATTAGTACTCAAATGCGAAGAAGTACTCCTTGATATACTACGTGTAAAACTTCGTCTTGGAAGCTGACTATCTTCATCAATATAGTCAGCATGAAGGTCTTCGTTTTCATCGCCTGAAACAGGACTACCTCCGTTAATGCGTTTGTGATCTCTTATATTGGGATTCACGACATCATCGTGACTACTATCACTCCCTTCAAAATCTATAGAGGCAGCTCCATTGACGGAGGAGTAGTCTTGATCTTCTCTATAGTAAGTTAACTTTGCTGAGAAAGGGTTTCCACTTTTCAGCCAATATGAGAATCCACTCCTGTTCCCACTGGGATCAACTGAGTCATTTGACTTATTAGAGTGAGGAAATCTGGAAGAACCAGAGGCACTGCGGGAAGAAATAATTAGGGGAGCCCCATCCCCCACAAGACCAGCAAAATTAATAGCTTGCACAGTATCAGGTGACAGTTTCTTCCATGTCTCCTTCTCCAGGACCATTTTAAGCGCCTGTTAGGGAGAAAAACCAAACAAAAACTTTACCTTCACTTTATCATGTAGGAGAGGTGATGCATGAAAGTAACAAGGTATGTGGTATTGGCAATGTCAGTCTTATAGGCATTGCGAAACTGAACTTACATGCATGCTTTGCCTATGAAATGCAGTGAAATAATTTTCGCATACACCCTTTAGCTTCTCCCTAAAATCAACAACTTCAAATCCACAGAACGCTTCCCCAGCAAGGATAAAGACGCTCAGGTCTTCATAATTTTTTAGGAACTGATGTATACTTGTTGAAGAAGCAGCTGGGGAAGAGAGCAAAACTGACACACGGCTTGTTGTAAGTTGCCAAAGATTCTTCCGTCCTCTCTGCAGCGTTTTTGAGACAAAAGTAGCACTCTCTTTCCGTAGAGAGTACCATGCTAAGTCGCCATCGCATACTGTATCTCCAGAATCCCTAGACTCATCTACTGCACTATTGGACGCCTGCTCCACAGAACTTGATGTTCCACTTCCATCAGGTATGCTTCCCGAACTCATAGCTGAAGAAAGACCACCATCCTGTGGGTCGCATGAACTGCCTGCTACTGAATCAATCTTTTGAGTTGTTGCAGGACTTGGTGAGATGAAACTTTCTACCTGTTCCAGTTCAGAAGCTTAGCCCTTAGAAACCGTTAGAGATAATAAAAATGAATTGACACTGATAGTATATTGCGAAGAACCCAAAGTATGTTGACAATGCATAAAATACTGAGCAACGAAGCCATCAAAGGGAAAAGATTTCTGACCCAATATCCTTCAAGCCAAAAGGGAATTAAATAAAGTGTATTGTCCTATAATCGAAGAACTTATCAAAATTCGTGGACAACCAATTACTTGACATGGAGTACTTAAAAGAGATAGAAAATCACTGAATTGTATGTTAACTAAGAAATTAAGTAACACGCAAGACCTGCATACGTGATTAAATATAAATTCCAATATCCGAGATAAAATCCATATCAATAAAGCAGGTCTACTTAGAGTTCTACACGCCACCAAACTAAATAATCACACAGTAAAAAGTTTTAAAGTGTGCTAAAACTCCCTATAACGAGTTTAGGTATAGTTTTGCTCAGAAAAATAGCTCAAAGGTCTTGACAGAGGCGTTTATGAAATCTGACAACAAACACTTTTAACACTGAAATTCGAACCAGGGGCTGTTCCAAGAACCCTATCAAGGCAATATGAAAATGTAAAGCAGGGAAAGGAGCCTACCGTTATTTCTGGCTCGAAGCTCATTATCTGATGGTATGAGTATATTAACTGAAATAGCACAGCCAGTGTTCTCAAAAGACATTGCCTAAACTTGGATTCTGGTGTCTGAATACATAGATCGCTGTAGGTAAGTCTGTAATAAATTTTAAAAAATCAGTAACAATACTAGAGTCCAAACAAAAAGGGACCAGAAGTACTGGATACTGTTATAAGTAGCAGTAATAACTCAGGTGCATAGAACATACCTACTAAATTGGGTGGCAGCACTGTTATCCTACAAAAACAATTATTCACAAGGAAAGGATCAACAACCTGTTTGGTTTAGTAAAATTTCCAATTGTCTGCTTTCATGTATCTCCTAGGATCAATAGTGACATCTAAGCAGCAAGGAATCAAAATTGCGCCATACAGCAGCAAGCTCATACATCCAACCATCCAAGCATGCATGGCTATATCCACTGCCTTAAGACCAAGTCTACATGAGCAACTATTGAATATTAAGCTCACATACCTCCCCAACAATGGTCTTTAGCACTGAGTGGGTCTCTGAGATAACCTCCTGCATAAAGAAGCTTTGTATCTTCTCGGCGAGACCAGATACATCACCGATCAGTGCATAAGCGTCAAGGACCTAAAAGTATGAGCACCAATACAAGTTAACTATTGCCGCTGAACCAGAGTCCTAGTTCTGCGACTAAACTGAAGGCCCACAATTCAGTCTTACTTAGTTTGAATCGAGAACGAGAGAGCAATACAGATATAAGATGAGAATGAGTTGGCTTACTAACCATTAAATAGCTATCTTCTTTGAACTCCTGGCAAACGCCCAGCAAAAGTGAATCCAGCTTGTGAAGAGTTCTTCCTAACCAAACCTTGAAAAGAGTATGAGAAGCTCAACCAACTGACAATAGAAAATTTGTGAAGACAATGATTGATCATGAATAACCCATAACTACCTCAACATTACGGGTCATCTCTTGGATTGCTGAGAACTCAGATAGACTGTCAAGCAGCTGCAAATACTCGGATAGAACTTGAAATGCCTACAATATATGGAATACGTTTCCGGTCCTTTTGTTAGTTTCATCGCATAATATCACCAAAAATCTTATAAAAAACGCAGAAAGTATATAACAGAGACGAAGGTAAAGTAACAACCTTGCAATAGTTTCCATCTTCAGCAAGGTCTTCAAGAGTTGACTGCATCACTCTTGCATGGCGAAGATCGGTTAGTATAGGAAGCATGTCCTGCAAGTAGAGTAAATTAAACATTTATACCGCTCTAATTTCATGGTAACTAGAGAAGCAAAAGGGCATGCTAGAAACAAAAAAATTGTCTTCCCAGTATGTTTAGATATCAAAATAAATATGTATGTCCTTTAATCAGGCAAGATTACACGGTCGTTAGCCACTTGCTGATAGGTGATACTACAGAGTCATTTTTTACACAAACTTCTAATACTACAGGTGATACTATCAGACAAACAAACGATCAGCGGAGTCTAGATGTCTGGAATAAACAGAGACGCCTACCAGAAGAGCTTGTTTCTTTTTGGAGTGAGTGTGTACAATCAGATCTCTTGAAGCCTCATTCATAGATGAAGTCAAATTTCGTCTCCCATTCTAGCAATAACAAAGAAAAACAGCCACAACCAAGGTCAAACCAGCAAACAGGCAAAAATAGAAAACGAAACCACTGTTTTGCTTTTGTAATGATTAAGATAAGAATATGAAATCCTTACTTTACAGATGACATTCGCAATCTTCAAATCTTTTTCCAATTCCCTAACCAAATTCATCCCCTTCACTGGCCAAAAGCAAATATTAGTATTCACAAAACGAAACACACATGGTCTTCTTCAGTCGACATTAGGTTCCTTAAGAACAAGTCTTTTACTTACCCATTACTTCATGATGCTCCATAACATGGTGAGACAGATTTTCCGCCACTCTATCCAACTGTACCAACCTCAGTGTAGCCTATACAGTAAACAAAACCTTTTAAAAAAAAAACTCAATAGAAACAAAAAAACATTCATCAACACTCGGAAGAGAAACGAAGAAAGTATTCACAGATACTACCTGCTTCTCAAAATAAGCTAGCTCACTTTGATCATCTGGTACATTTTCCAAAATATGCCTCACAGGATCAAAATCCTACAAGAGAACACAAACAACAGTAGAGATGAAAGTATATCTCCCAGTATCACAAAAAAACACATCGAAGATACAAACTGATGGATGCATACACGCACCTCTTCATAGAAACCTTCTTCAAGCTCTTCAACTTCTTGAGGAGGAGGCCTGTTCCCATAGATTGAGCTAAGCTCAGTAGCACTAGAAGATATACTTAACCTCTGATCAGAAGGAAGCCCAGCTAAAGCACGAGCAACAGCAGCTGCAGCTGCAGCACGTGCCGGAATCTACACAAAAATTGGGATCACATTCACCAGAAAAGCTCTTTCAATTTCAAAAACAAAACTCCATTGATCTCACAGGAATCAAAGAGAGAGAGAGAGAGAGTGAAACAAGTTTAGTTAAGTACCTCAGGGCGATCAGAGGAAGAAGGAGAAGAGGGTAAGAGTCCAAGCGATGTAGCGGATTTAACAGAGCTGAGGAATTTTTCGCCGACTTTGGAGAAATCCATCCCTTCGCCTTGGGACAATAAGAGAGGGAGTAAGAAGAAAACCCTTGAGCTCTCGAACCCACCAGAAGCACCAAGCTCGCTTAGATCGCCGCCATTGAAGAGAAAAGGATTACCCAAAACTGTGCCGAATGGGAACAGATTAGGCTGCATCTCATTTCAGATCATAGCAGTAGGAAAACTGTATAGATCAGAAATTTTGATTTTAATCGAATCCAGATGGTGAAGAAGGGAATCCGATCAGGAAAATGTATTCGATTCTCCCGTGAATTAGAATCGGAGAGAGAAGTCCGGCGAGAAATGAAAGTGGAGAGGAGGAGTAAGACGAACAGATCTGGAGACAGGCGTGTCCTAATTTAGCAGGAGCTTGACTTTGTTTCTGTTCATTTGGATGATGACACTAAATTAAAATCAAAATCTCTTAACCCATAAAACGTTTGTTAAAACAAAACATTAGCCAAACGTTAATAAACCTTTGTATATAAAAACAGTTTCGGTTGTTGTTTTTTTATTTATTAGGAGTATTTGTTAAACTAAATTTTATGGGAATTTATGGTTGTTTTAGATTCAAATTGTGTGTTGGATACAAAAGCTCACCTCTGTTACTACCAAAAAAGACAAAAACATGTAATGTTTAAGGAGGTATTTTAATGGATTTGGGAATTCAAACCAAATTCAGTGTTATTGGTTCTTATATTTTAAAATTTATATTGAAATACAATATTATTGGTTCTATGATTTTAAAATCCATAATGAAATATAGGGTTATTGGTTCTATCATTTTAGAATCTAAATATTATAAGAATTTGAGTTTTAATTGAATTTGAATAGATTTGGAAGGATTTTCATGACTAAAATACAAAGACTTAAATACAAGGTTTAACTTTGATATTTGAGTGGATTTGATTTTTTTCTATTTTACTGATTTTGAAATTAATAAATTTATCAAATCCAAAGAAGATTTATAAATCCACCAAAATACAAAAACCAATAACCCCTTAATGTTTTTAATCTTCCACCGTCAAAATTATCTCATTGAATTTGTATTTTTTACCTTTGCTAAAAATTTGTATTGGTATATTATTTGCATCGTTAGATCCTGTAGTCACTCACATGCGTTTAACAGTGGAAACTAAAAAGTACTAAAGAAGGGACAAATAAAGACCGAAAAAAGAAATCTAATGACAAATTAAATTCCAGTCGAAAAGTAAAAATGAGATAATAACTTTTTAGAAGCAAACGCAGAATATATCATTCACATGTTAATTCTGAGTCGGATCGTAGTCTTACAAAAAAAACCATAATCAAAAAACCTTTTCTTTTTTACCACAACGACAAACTAAAGTCAGATCATCGTCGAAAACCAAAAGACATAATACGTCCTAAGAGAAAATATTGGCTGAATCATTCAAAATATTCACAGCCAAAACCGGAACTGAAAGTAGTTAGAGAGAGAGACCAACAAGTGATCATCCATCAGCAGTAGAACATAACATCCTTAACGTTATCTTTGACTGCAGGAAGATGCGCAACAACTGTAGCAGTGCTCGTGGTTGTGTTCCTGCTCCTGCTCGAACCTCCATCAGACATCTCACTTTCCATGTAGTAACGAGCCCTAAACGCAGCCAAGTGAGCATAGTAAGCCGGTGGCACAATCGAGACAGATCTTGTGCACCTCGCAAACCTGGAAAGTTTCATGTTTTCGTTTAGACAAGTTCCATCTATATTTCAACATATCAAAAGAGAAGAACATAATGTTGTGTATGTTTAACTTACGTGTAGCAAAGATTGTTTGTCAGCATTTGCATTTGATCGGCAGTGAAACCATTTTGATCATACAAAACATGGTAATGCGCAGGCCTGCTTGTTCCCTAACAAAACACAAACCAAACACTTTAAATCCGAGTTTTTCTAAAATGGTGGAAGCAAAGGAAAGAAATAAATATTAGAATTACCTGAATACCAGCGTGACTGTTCAAGTAGAAATCAAACTCACTCGGGTGACAGATCTTGGTGTCAACCACAGTTCCTAAAAGAAGAGATTTTAAATGAGTTTAATGTCGATCATCAAAGAGAGAGTTTTAACAAGTTGATAAAAAAGAACAGAGGGATTTGTGAGGAGAGAGGAGAACCTGGCTGTATGTTGCCACTCTTATCAGTGGTATCGCGATTACCGTGCTGAGCAGGAAACAGACGAGTGTGGTGTCGTTTCTGCACAACCACAAACGTGACAGGTGGAAGATAGCCTTCCTCGAGAGAGTTTGTTGCTTTGTGTATCGCATGCAACTCATGAAGCAGAACCTGGCTAAACTGTCCTTCGCTAACTCCATCACTGCAAATAAGCCAAAGAGATTTATTCACATTCAAATGTAAAAACTGAGCATAGTTTAGGAGACAGAGAGTAACTTCGATGTGACTCACCGGAAAAATACGATCCTATGAGGTTTCTGACCAGTAGCCCTCCTGAAAGCTATGAGATGTTCCCTGCATATTTCAGAAACAATTACCCTTTTGCTGATTCTGAAAAATTCAAAGAAACAAAAAATTTGTAGAGCTTTTGTTCTTTAGTTATTACCTTATCAAACCAGAGTGGACAAGCCCTCGCTGAGGATCCTGCACCAGCTTATACAGATCCTGGATGATTTCTTCCCTATGAGTTTGAGCAGAAACTAGTGCTCGGTACTTGGTTATCTCAGGCCAGTCCATAGAGGCAACAACCTGTAACAACAAAGTGAAAAAGAGATAGTCAACTAAATGTTGAATCAGCTAGATAAGAGAGAGATAGATTGTAAGAGAAATCGAGATTTGTATACCGCAGCAATAGAAGGGCTCGAGTCTTCACCAGGTTGCGGGTGAGTCACGTCAGCACCCATGATTATGGTTGGGCGGTCAGAAATCAGAGGGATTCTTCTTCTTATAGCATCATCAAGAACTGTGTTCCTTCCTCCAGCCTGTAATACAAAATAAACTCTAGAATTTATAAACATAAAAATATGGAAGAGGTTAAACAACAAGAAAACAAACCTTGACATTCATCTTCAATGACACATTCTCCATGTACTGGATGCCAAGTTTACGGACATTGTTAGGTTGGCAACATTGGGAGACAATACCCAGCTCAGTTTCACATATCCTCTTGATTTTTCCTGCACACAATACAAAAGAGATTCCATGAAACCAGACTGTTGGTGTAATTTTTACAACGAATAATACCAACCAAATTACACATTTACCGTATGATCCGGTTAGATCAGGCAATATTATGATCAACAGCTGGAGATCAGGTGCCCGTGTGTGGATGTCCCTAAGAGTCTCCTCGATTCTTTGAGGCGTAGAAGATATGAAGGGAATAACAGGTTGTGGATTAACTTGCTGAAATGAAGGATAACAACAGTTAGTGGCCTTTTCGGTAAGAACAAATCGTGACAAGTATCAAGAAGCTTGAAAACAAGGCATACCATCCCTTTGGAGACGCACATCGCCATCAATTGTTTGCAGAACTCTTGAGGCAAACCTCTGTCAATCCGAGTAGAGAAACTTACACAGGTCCAAGAAGCAACTCTTGCTCCATTTACCATTTTCTAGAACACAATACAAAACAACCAAAAAGATGTAAGAGACTGAAAATTTTGATATCACTCGTAAAATCAATAGAAGCATTAGGCATCAACTTTCTCTTCCATATCCCAATGCAACGAAGTTAAGTATTAAGGTTTATCAAAACAAGAATACAAGCATTATTCTGACTTAATTTTCATGTTCGTACATAGAGTTGGAAATAGAGGAAACATTATGATAGTCAATAACTGTTTTACCTTGTTAATCATGTTCCACTGTCCTAGTCTTGGATTCACCATCTTTTCTTTACCACTTTCGTGGTATTTCAACTGTAGACAGAAACAAAATCTCCTAATGAGTATCACTGAAAAGAGAACATGTATATCAAAAAGAAAAGCAGCAATCACAAAAATGAAGTTAGACAGAATCACCACTGGCGGAGGCAGGACACGAGCCTCAACTGAAGCCAGCTGATCAGTCACTGACATTCCAAATTCTTTGCTCACAAGATCAATGTTGTTATAGTTGTTTTTCTTGACCATCTAACAACATAAACAACAAAATGTGAAGTTTGTCAATACAAGGGACTCAAAATTAAAAACACTTTGTATTATGCAACAAAAAAAAGGACAAAACCTACATCTTTGATCAAATCCTCTCTCTCCTTAGGTCGTTGACAAGTAGCTCTTAGCATCGCAGTGATCTGCCTTTCATTGAGCTTTTTGGTGTATCGCTGGCCTTCAGCTATCCTACAAAGCTGCAGAAAACCAACGAATAAGAAGATTATTAGTGATATGAACCTGAGTTTTACAAAACGATCAAGGTAAACACAGATTGAAATCAATCATACCTCCATCGGCAAGTAAGCAGGCTTTGAGTCACTTCCTGACTGAATAGCAGGTAAGGAAGGGAATCTCACCCTGTAGTTATACTTTTCAGCAAAATACTGCACAACAGTTTTTCGAGAATTGTCTTCTAAAGTGAAACTGAAATGAAACAGAGAAAAGGTAAACATCAGATCATACTTTGAAACCGAAAGATAAAGCACAAACAAATCTGCATTTTTTTATTGAGGTTTATTAATGGAAGAAGAAACTTCACCTAAGCTGACTCATAGGACAGTTGGAAATCCCACTGATCTTGGCACTTCTTGCGTACTCAAATTGACCCAATTCAACTCTTATACCCTTCAAAGCTTTCTTCACCTAGAAACCAACATATCATTTACAAGATAAGAATCGTGTAGACAACAACTTCATCTTCTTCAATTAATACTACTATTGAACTGTCTGAATAAACGTTAGATAAGTACCTTCACACGATCAGAGTCGGTAAGAGGTCTGTTAAAGTCCCTGAGATTAAGGTACTTGCTGATAAATTCCGTGACTAAAATGGGCTCATAGAAAGATCTAGCAGACACGTCTGCATCATAAGAAGAAAACACAACAGTTTACAATAGATCATAACAATCTCCAGCAAAGCCAAAACACGGAGAGAACTTTTCAAAATCCCAATCAATTAAAGATAAGTTTCACAAGCACTCACCAATGTTGAGAGACAGACCCATTTGGGTTAGCCTAAGAGACTGAAAGTACCCGCTCCAGTACTCAACACCATCAGCAAGCTCACCCCTTTTTCCCAAACTAGGGTCGAAAAAAGACCTCCCAATAGTAACATACCTGGAACAGAAAACGCAATACAGTGAAGCGTGTAAGCCTATGCGTATCTTTTGAAATCTTGGGGAAGTTTTAAGCAAATTTCTTACTTTTGAGAAGGCAGATCTCTCAAAACCACATCAAGCACTTGGATAGTGTCATATGGAGCATCTCTTTGCCTCTGACGGAGAAACTGCTGTAGCTGATAAAGATCAGGCCTTGACGCAAGCTTTATAGCAACTTTGAATTGCCTTTCCCTTCTGCCAAAAGAATAATGAGTCACAATGTCAAAAACTGACTGTCAAGAACCAGGTGATTACTAGCAGCATTAAAAACCCATCAGCATAGAGGATTCATAAGCAATTACCTAGACGAACCACCAGCAACGTTCTTGTCCTTCAAATCCACAACAAAGTCTTTAGACTCAAAAGGGAGTGGCCCTGCAGTGTAGAGGCTCTTCCTTCCGTCATATGCAGGACTCTTATTCGCCAAGTGCGACTCTTTAAAGTTATCCACCAGAGTTTTCATAACGTCTCGATTCACCTTCTTCGAGATAACCTCAGGAGTTATTGAAACCTAACAGATCAAACAAAAACCAACAACGATACATGACGAAACAAGTCAGGCTTGCAAATACAAAATACTAAACCCAGATTCGTAGTCTAGCGTATAAGGTTTAAGAAATCTATAAGATAAATCAAAACGGACGATTTGTCTCATATAGAAAAAGCAGAAAATCGGAAACTTACGTCGTAATGAAACAGATCTCTGTCCGCCACTTGCACTAGGAAGTGATTCGCACGAATCAAGACTTTCTTCCCTGCTTGACCAAGCCCTGGACGCGGCGGGTTAATCACGGCTTTCGAGGACGCCGGAGTTATCTGAACTTTCTCCGCCAACTCGCGACTAAGAGACGAGACAGATTCCGACTCCGAAACTTTGGGTTTCTCCCGTACGGACGACGACGAAGCAACGTCCGTCGCTCCGATGACACTGGGAACAACATCCGCCGGCGCCTTTCGATCTTCAGTAACGACGGGAGTATTTCCCCGTCCGGCGTTTCCGCGGCCTCTCCCGCCAGAAACTACACCCCCACGGCCGCCGGAGGTTTGCAGCTGCGGCCAAGAAGCGGGAGCGGTGGACTGCTCCTGCGTCTGGTCGGATCGACGCCCACCGCGGCCACGACCGGCGCCACCGTAGCCTCCACGACTCGACATTGTCGGAAAACTTCTGAGAGAAGAAACTATGAATTTCGAAATTGGGGGAGAGAGAAAAAGAGAAAACAAAGGAGACTGCGAAGACGAAAGTCTGTAAATCCCAGACGGTTATTTATCTTTGCATAAAACAAAAAGAAAACATTATGCGAATTTACCTTTTAGCCCCTGACGATTTACTTTCCCTACACGTTCGTGGTTATTTCCTATCCTTTCCCTGTGGGTCCCATTTAACAATACCATACCATGGTTAGTTTTAAAAATTTTGAGAAAGCAACTTTGCCATAATTGCTACTATTCGCCCCTCCTTACATTTTTTTTTTATAAACGTGGCTCTACTGTCTACTCTTTCCAAAATTGGTACATTAATCGACACCAAAAATGAAAAGAAGATTTTGATGCTTTTTGCTCTTTTCGTGATTAACAATGAATTTACTCAGGTAGTAGACCGGTTCAGTTTTCCTCGATGATTAATGTTTTACAAACAAAATAAAGGTCAAATTTATTAGTTCTCGTATTAGTTGGAGAAGTTAAAACGTGTGACATTTGCTATTCTATTTGGATATCATTATGTTTCGTATAATTAATTAAAAAAAGAAATCCAAGTAAACTACTACGTTCGATAAAAATCCTCTGAGCTAATGCGATAATACTGATATGACATCTGACAACATTCATTATTCTTTCTTTAAATGCTTTTAACTATACCATCATCACAAATTAACAGCATCTTTGCATTGGTTTACGAGGCTCGATTTTGTTATTTTTACTGACGTTCACAAATAAGTTTTACTACTAAATAATGTTTTTTTCTTAGTGCTTATCTTCTTTCTTCGGTAAGATAGCCAGCCACTTTTCCTTTGCTTTCTTTTACTTTACGGTTGTGATAGTGTGAATTTAGTTTATTTGCATATTAGGCTACAAAAAGAATAAGTTATAAATTTTAATAGACTAAAATGAATTTTTAGGAAATAGTTGTTAGAAGAAAAATGAGCACATTTCATAAAAAACTTTCTTTAGCAATAATCTAAATTCATCAAGACTAAGAGGACTGTACTGACTTAGTTCAGATAAAGAAAAATCCCTAAAGATAATTTTTGAAGTCCGGAAGCATCGGATTGACTCGAATGATAAAAGAGAATTTTCATATTCTTCGGAGAATAAGAGATATTTCCATATCGCAAATATGGAAATATTTACCAAAGGAAAAAAGGAAAAGGAGTTTGGAGCAACCGACCTCCTATCCCTATAAATAAGAAGACTTCGAAGTCGAAGAGACCAACTCATACAATCTAGAGAGCAGCAGAGCAAAAACCAGAGACTCCAACATTTTCTAGTTTACTTAGCAAACATCTTATTTCACTTCGGCATAACCTCTCGGTTATCCCATTCTTTGTAATCGCTTCGTTTATTGCTATTAATAAAAGATCTTATTCTCCGAAACCCACAGCTGTTAATCAAAACTCTAGTGGTGATTTTCTAGTTCAACAGTTGGAGAATAAATTCTTAGAAACTAGCAACTAAAAGGCCGAAGCGATGAGTCTCCTGATCAACAGCGACCTCATCCGCAACAACAACAACACCACCATCGCAATCCTACCACCCACGGGAGAACACACAACATCCAACAATTCCTACATGATCTTAGGAGGGGAATTCGACGATCCCAGTTCGCTAAAGGAAATACGACAGCACAAAGAAAAAGCGGTGGACACAAAACAAAATCTAATCACCCTGGAGAACGAGGCACTAGTAGATTTCACAGCAGAAGATCAACACAGTTCGCACATGCCACACGTCGACCCATTGGTCGTAACTTTACAAATTCACGAAAGCACAGTCACCAACGCTTTGGTTGACAGCGGGAGCACCGTCAATATTATCTTCAGAGACACATTGGCGAGGATGAACATCAATGAAGGCGAAATAACAACAACGGTAGAACCACTAACGGGATTCTCCGGCGACACCTCCTACACTATCGGCTCAATACATCTACCCACTTACATCGGTGGCGTAACCAAAAAGGCAAAATTTGCAGTCATCGACTGCCCAACTATCTACAACGTCATACTTGGAACCCCATGGATCCACGCCATGAAGGCAATCATCTCAACATACCATCAATGCATCAAATTCCCAACACCGACCGGTACACTCACGCTGCAAGGTGACCAAGCAACAGCACGAATGTGCCTCCTCAGCGAAAGGAAAATCAGGACGGCGACTACTTGCATGATAAACGAGGACTTAGACCCACGCCTCCCCTTTCAAAAAAGACCAAAGCCCGAGCGGGTTATACAGGTAAGCCTTGACGAGGAACATCCGGAAAGAGTCGTTAGCATTGGTGGTGACCTCGCGGAAGATATAAAAACATAACTCGTCGAACTTTTACGAGACCACGTGCATCTATTCGCTTGGTCTATGGAGGACATGAAGAAAATCGACATCAGAATCACGTCACATAAACTAAACGTAGACCCTACGTTCAAGCCAATAAAATAAAAACGAAGGAAGCTCGGCCCCGAGAGAGCACAAGCGTAACCGATGAAGTGGAAAAATTACTCAGAGCTGGATCGATTACCGAGGTTCAGTATCCTGATTGGCTAGCTAACCCCGTCGTAGTTAAAAAGATGAATGGCAAGTGGAGAGTCTGCGTTAACTTCACCGATCTCAATAAAGCTTGCCTAAAAGATTGCTTCCCTCTCTCCCACATCGATCCACTGGTCGAATTAACAGCCAGAAATCAGCTTTTGTCCTTTATGGACGACGTTCATTACCGATCGAGGAACATATTGTTACAAAGTCATGCCCTCCGGACTAAAAAACGCAGGAGCCACATACCAGCGGTTGGTCAACAAAATGTTTGCAAATCAGCTCGCCGCACCATGGAAGTATACATCGATGACATTCTAGTCAAATCTGCAGTCGCCAAGGACCACGTTGGCCACCTCAGGGATTGCTTCAAAACCCTCGAGAAATACGGGATGAAATTAAATCTCGCCAAATGCACATTCGGGGTGACCTCGGGAGAATTTCTAGGTTACGTCGTCTCCCAAAGGGGGATAGAAGCAAACCCAAAACAAATTTCGGCAATATTGGATCTCCCGTCACCCAGAAATACGCGCAAAGTACAACGACTAACCGGGAGAATTGCCGTGCTAAACAGATTTATCTCACGTTCCACTCATAAATGTCTCCCTTTTAATCAATTACTTCGGACTAACAAACGCTTCGATTGGGACGACAAGTGCGAAGAAGCATTCTCACAATTAAAGGAGTACCTGACAACCCCGCAGATATTAGCTAAACCAGAGGATGGCGAGACTTTGTACCTTTATATCACAGTCTCGACAGCTCCTTCTACATAAGCAAGACTCTGGATGGAGCCAAAACTCGTTATCCAGCTCTGAAAAACTCGTCTATGCAGTAATCATCTCGACACAGAAATTGCGACCCTATTTCCAATCTCACACTATCGTCGTCTTCACTAGTCAACCACTTCGGAGCATTCTACACAGCCCGAGCCAATCCGGCCGAATGACTAAATGGGCGATAGAACTGTCTGAATATGATATCGAGTACCACACTCAAACTAGCGCTAAATCTCAAGTCTTTGCAGATTTTATGATCAAAATACCACCAGATCTACTGAATGACGAGTCACTTACCGAAAGCTGCTGGGATTTATACATAGATGGTGCATCATCAAAGCAAGGACCAGGGGTCGGCATCTATTTGAAATCACCAACAGGGGAAGTCCTTGAACTATCATTCAAGCTCAGCTTCTCTGCCTCCAACAACGAAGCCGAATACGAAGCTCTGCTTGCAGGGATTCGGCTCGCCAAAGAGGTAGGGGATAAAAATATCCAAGCCTTTTTTGATTCCCAGCTCGTCGTCAGCCAGCTCAAAGGAGACTACGACGCAAAGAACAAGTGACTGGACGCTTTCCTAAAACAGGTCCAGGAAATAACAAGACAATTTGATTCCTTCGAACTAATCCCGCGAACTGAAAATACTGCCGCTGACGCGCTAGCGGCATTACCATCAACAACGGATCATGCACTTCGCCGAACGATTCCAGTGGAGATCATTAAGACCCCCAGCATCCAATTAGCCAAAGGAGCCTGCAACATGGCTCTTCATCAAGAGGACGAAACAGACGACCCGAAGGAAGTAGACGCTGAGCAACCAAAGCAACCTTGGCAAGATGAAATTAAGTCCTACCTATCCGAAGGAACAGTCCCGCAAGATAGATGGGTAGCTAGACGTCTCCGAAGGAAAGCAGCACAATGCTTCATTGAAGATGAAAACTTATTCTGATGGACAGCAAATAAAGTAATACTACGATGCTGTGATGAAGCGCAAGCAAAGAGGGTCATGGTAGAAACTCATGACGGAGCATGCGGAAACCGTTCAGGAGGAAGGGCATTAGCATTAAAAAAAAAGAAGCTCGGACTATTCTGGCCCAGAATGATCCAAGACTATGAACAATTCATGCTATGGTGAGAACAATGTCAGAAACACGCGCCCATCATCAATGCACCCACCGTGCTCCTTCAGACCGTGGTTCCGCTTTACCCCTTCATGAGGTTGTCGATGGATGTAATTGGCCCAATGCCTAAATCAGGTCGCAATTAACATATTCTTGGCATGACCGATTACTTCACAAAGTGGGTCAAAGCTAAAGCATACCCCACTACAAAGGCAATTGACGTTCAAATTTTCGTATGGAAATACATCATATGTCGACATGGCCTCCCATTCGAGATCATCACAGATAACGGCTCGCCATTTATTGCCTCAACTTTCCAAAATTTTTGTGAGGTTTGGGGAATACATATAAGTTATTCGACGCCTTGCTACCCACAGGGGAACGAAAAAGCGAAGGCTTCTAACAGAACTATCTTCGATGGCCTCAAGAAACGCTTGACTGACCTAAAGGGAAGTTGGTCAAACGAGCTAGATGAGGTCTTCTGGCCGCACTGAACTACTCCCCGAATGGCAACAAGAGAAACCCCTTTTTCGCTATCTCACGGTTGTGAGGTTAGCACCAGCTGAACTGCATGTACATAATGCTCGG